CCCCCCCCCCCCCCCCGTCTCCCCCCAGGCCTGGTCCGGGAGCAGGAGGCTGGGCTGCTGCAGTTCCTGCGCCTGGATGGCTTCTCTGTGCTGATGCGGGCCATGCAGCAGCAGGTGCAAAAGCTCAAGGTCAAGTCAGCGTTCCTGCTGCAGAACCTGCTGGTGGGCCACCCCGAACACAAAGGTGGGGCGGCCAGGGCAGGGGCCCAGGGACGATCCCCACGGGAGGGTGGGGGGTGTGTGTGTGGGAGGGGTGTGGACCGCCCCTCTGACCCCCAAGACCCTTCCCCCAGGGACCCTGTGCTCCATGGGGATGGTCCAGCAGCTGGTGGCCCTGATCCGGACAGAACACAGCCCCTTCCATGAGCATGTGCTTGGAGCCCTGTGCAGGTATGCTGGGGCCTCCGAGAGGCCGGGGCTGGGCCAGCCGCCCACCCCCTCCGGGGCTGGCCCCGCCGGGCTCCCGCCCACCAGCCTCCTCGATGCGCTGCTAGGACGCGGGAGTCTGGGCCTTTCCCGCGGAGGCGGCAGGCTCTGGCGCTGGCCCTCCCTGCGCAGTGGTCTCCTCCCTTGTAGGGCTGACACGGCAGCCTGGGAGGAGGGGCCGTCCTATCCCGCTGCCCCGCACACGGTACCTGCAGATTAGTGTCTGCGAGAGAGGACGCAGTGTAGTGGCTCCGTGCCAGGCTCCGTGCCAGGTGCCTTGTTTTGTACAAGTCTCAGCGCAGGCGCTGGGGTGGTGGGGACGGCCTCAGGTCTGCATCCAGACAGGGAGACTGAGGCCCAGCATGGGGAACTGACTCGCCCAGGCTGCTGTGGGAGCAGCGTGGGGGCGGGCCTGTGCGGGGCGGGGTCCGAGGAACGCTCTCCTGTCCCTGCAGCCTGGTGACAGACTTCCCCCAGGGCGTGCGGGAGTGCCGGGAGCCCGAGCTGGGCCTGGAGGAGCTGCTCCGCCACCGCGTCCAGCTGCTGCAGCAGCACGAGGAGTACCAGGTACCGCCCGAGCCTGGCTGCCGGCGCGGGGCGGGGGCGCAGGGGGTGCCTTGGCGCTTTAAGGGGTAAACAAGGTCACGTTCTTATGATGCAAATTTTATGATTATTTAGGTCTTATCAGATTTTTAACAGCTACATATTTATTAGATTGCTAAATAGCAAACCTGATAAATAACAACCCATTAAATAATTGAGTAAATAAACAAAAGATAAGTAATTCATGTAATTAGGTAATAAGTAACAAGCGATAACTCAGATAATCAATAACAAATAAGTGATAAAGAGCGACTAATTAAACATTCGTATAGTTTAATTATTTACGTGATTAAGTATTTAGCTGATGATACATGCCACCCTCCCAGGACATCTGTTCCACCGAGTCTGTTCCTCTGCGACACTGTCGAGAGTTTACAGAGGTGCTGTGAGGAAGAGCAGGGGTGCCCAGGAGGGGCACAGGGTCCTCTCCCAGGGGCTTGCCGGCCCTCGGCACAGGGACACGCGCAAATCGGTGTGCGGATCGGGGGGCCGTCCTGGCCTGGGCTCGCATCCACCTGCGGAGTGGGTTAGTTGTTGCGACCGATCCCCTGGGCTGCCTGGTGGCAGGTGAGGCCCGGGCCCCGGGGAGGAACCTGCTGGTGAGGGAGGCCTCGTGTTGACCGACCAACACCCTTTTTTGTTTTTTAAAATTTTTCTTTTTACATTTATTTATTTTTGAGAGACAGAGAGAGACAGCATGAGCAGGGGAGGGGCAGAGAGAGACGGAGATACAGAATCTGAAGCAGCTCCAGGCTCTGGGCTGTCAGCACAGAGCCCGATGCAGGGCTCGAACTGAGGAGCCACGAGGTCATGACCTGAGCCGAAGTAAGATGTTCAACCGACTGAGCCATCCAGGTGTCCCACTTAACAGCTCTATTGAGGGATGGGGCGCGTGGGTGGCTCAGTCAGTTGGGCGGCCAGCTTCGGCTCAGATCATGATCTCACGGTCCATGGGTTCGAGCCCCACGTCAGGGTCTGTGCTGTCAGTTCGGGACCTGGAGCCTGCTTCAGATTCTGTGTCTCCCTCTCTCTCTGCCCCTCCCCCACTCAAGCTCTGTCTTTCTGTCTCAAAAATAAAATAAACAGCTCTATTGAGGGAGAAGTGTCACGTAATAAAGTCCACTTCCTGGAAGTGTGCAGTGTGAGAAGCCTAGACGTAGGGATACGCCTGTGGAAACCTTCATTCTTCCATTTGCCAGGGGCAGCTCGCGCACGCTCACCGTGAGCCAGGCCCTGATCTGGGCGCCGGGGGTTGGTGAGGAGCAAGACAGTACAGTCTTCGTTCTCATGGGGGCTCAGGGGTGATAAACACGCAGACACACAGAGATAACATATTTACAAGTACATCCGTAGCTCGCGTGCGTACGTATGCATACGTAACATGTGCAGTATTTGCATATGTGTAATTTAACATGGGTAGCAGGACATCGGGAAGGTATAACTACGTTGAAGAGGAAACCGTGGCGGGGGCAGAGAAGGGGGGGCGGTGCCGTGTTAGTGTCCTGCGGCTGCTGCAACCGTACCACAGACGGGGTGGCTTAACGCAGGGTTGCGTGCTCTCGCGGTTCTGGGGACTAGAAGTCTGAAGTCAAGGTGTCGGCAGGGCGCTGCTCCCTCTGAAGGTCCTGCCTCTTCCAGCCGCTAGTAGTCGCTGGCACTCCTTGGCTTCTGGATGTGCCACTCCAGTTTCTGCCTCCGTTTTCATGTGGGCCTTCCTCTGGGTCTCTGTGCCTTGGAAATCTTTCCGATACTTGGAGGTCTGCCTTAATTTCAGCATAACTGACAGGTGCAGCTGGCGCGGTCCCCCATCAGGCGGTTCTGTCGTGACTCAGTCCTCTTCCGTAGGTATTTCGTAGGTAAATTTGAGAGTTCAGTTTCAGGAATGCTTTCTCGGGAAGAGGCCCTGTAGTCACGTGGGCCAGCAGCGACACTGCGTGGGAGGGTCACGTGAAGTCTCCCTGTGCCCCTCGTCTTTAACCTCCCAGTGCCTCCCCCAGTTCCGTGCGTGGCCTCCTCAGACGCTCTGTGCACACAGCAAACATGCGTGGAAACTCTTTTCTTCCTGTCTCTACTTTGTGCACAACCGACCCGTCCTGACCTCTTTTCTGTTCCTTGCCTCATTCCCTCGTAACATCCCAGGGAGGGGTGTGGCAGGAGGGTGTGTGTTGGCGGCCTGGCTTTTCCCTGTTTCCTTTCCGCGCTGCAGGGTAGGTCGCTTCTTTTCGCGTCTGGCCCCCGTTAGTGGACATGCTGGTTGCTGCTACCGCTCTGCTCAAGGAATAACTTTTTACATGTTACTTTATCTGCATGCATGTGGCTATAGGCCAAGTTCCAGAAAGGGAAAAGCTGGGTTAAGGTAGGTGACAGTGAAGGTACAGAGTTCAGAGCTAGGGGCCGCTCTGTTAGCTCTTGCCAGGTTGCTCTCGACAAGGGTTGCCCCAGTTGAGGAGGGAGCTCAAGGGTGCCATAGCCATTTGGCCGTTTTTGCCAAGCTGATTGGCGAAAAGGAGTATTCTAGTCCCTTTGTGCTTCTGCCGTGAGTAAAGCCGGACGGCTTTCATTTCTCAAGAGGTGCTCATTCATATCCTGTGCCCGTTCATCTACGGGGTGGTGCTTTCTATAATTGATTTATTAAATCTCTTGAAGTGTTAACTATGTTAGCCATTTCAGACGAGTTGCAAATATTTTTCACCCCTAACTGTTGTTCTTTCATTTTGTTTCTGGCATCTTTTTGCCCAGCAGATCCCTTTCATGTTCACACAGTCCAACCTTGTGGTTGGGTCTGTACCCGTGGAAGGGGTTTTAATTTTAAGTGGTGATTAGTAGGGGTCGGTCATGCCTGGGAGTTAGAAGGAGCCCAAGGGGGCTGAGGTGAGACACACCAGTGGGGTGAGGTAGGGGCCGGGGGCCCCTGGTCCCAGGCCAGCAGTCCAGACACTGGTGAGACGAGAAAGCGAGGCCTGGGTCTCAGCTGAGATCTGAGAACTGGAGGCCTCTGGGGCGGGCAGTGGGGAGGGGAGAGACCCGAAGCAGGGGCCGGCCTGCACTCAGGGCTCCCGCTCTTGCCCCCCCCCCCCCAGGAGGAGCTGGAGTTCTGTGAAAAGCTGCTACAGACCTGTTTCTCCAGCCCGACGGATGACAGCATGGATCGGTGAAACCTGGTGGCTTATCACCCCTGTCCGTGGGAACCCCAGGCCCCCTGCCTCCCGAGAGAGCAGGGCCTTACTGCTGCTTGGCCAGGGCGTGCCAGCCAGTCTCTGCTCAGGCCCCTGCGGGGGCGCCCGGAAAGGCGCTGGCTCCTTGGGTCCCACCTCTCGTGCTCTCACACCCTCCCCTTCTTGTGTCCACTGTTCTAATAAAAGTATTTCTCCTCCTCCGGCTCATTCATTGCGGCCTTCGTCACTTCCTCTGGAGGGTGGCTGGGGGATGGGGCACCATCTGAGGGGACCTAGGGAGCCATGGAGGAGAGGGCAGCAGGAGGAACCCGGAAATACAAGTGCTGCTCCCCAAAATCCAGAGCCATTGTCTCTTCTCAGTCCCTTTTGAGAGGGAGTGTGGGGGACCTCGCCCTCCTTTTTGACCACCCATCGTCTCTGGTTTTTCCTCTGCCTGGAGAACCCCCACATTTGACCCCCCGAGGACCTGCCCTGAGGCGGGGAGCCAGGTTACTTCCCGGGCACAGGGTCACCCTGTGCGGAGGCGCATCGTGTGACTTCAGCCCCACGCGTCAGAGCCCGCTGCGGGGCTCCTGGGCGGAGATGGGGGAAGGTGGGAGCATGCGGGTGGGCACCTGTGGAGGTGGGCAGGAACTGCTCTGCCTGCCCACGGGCCTCGTTCCGGCCGCAAAGCGCCAAGCGGTCCCCAGCCTGCTCAGAGATTGGGGCCCTGAGACATGTCTCATCCATTTCATGAATTCCTTGTCAGCTAAACCAGGTCTCGTTTGCAACCAAGGCTCCTGGCCAGTGCTATCTGTCAGACGAGGAATGTGAGCCCAGGGTCTCGATGCATGGGCAAGCTCGCACAGCCAGGTTTCGGACCTGGGCTGACTTCAAAGCTGTGCGCCTCCCCTACCCTGGTCTCCTAGCTCCACTTCCTGTAGATTAATTCCTCTTGTGGAATTTACTTGTACTCTTGGGATTTGGGATGGAGCAATTATTTCACCATTCTCCCCAAGCTCAGGATAAATCAAAAGGTAGCTACACGATCCAAGAATTGGAGCTCAAGTATCACCTTTATTACCATTACAGCCAATCGGAGAAAGTCACTTTAGTCTTGCTACATACGCACTCTGGCATTAGACACGCCTCCTGGTCACAGGCAGCACTGGGCAAGCACAGGCCTCCCCTTGGGTGCCACAGGCCCACACTGGGCAGGCTGGCTCGAAGGGAGAGCTGGAGTGAGCCACAGTGCCCATCTAATCTGGCAAATTGTCCCTCAGCCCCTAAAGGGGTGGAGAGGCCAGGAGGGACACACTAAGCAATAGAAGTGCCTCCATGTGGAAATGTGAACGATGGGGAATGAGTGTTCCCACCAGACACTTTAAGAAGCACCTTCCAATTCTATTACACATAACAGCATTGTCAACCTGTGACTCCTGATAGGGTGGAGACCCAGATTTCAGTCCTTAAAGTTGCTGCAGCTTCCCGGGTTCTTCCAGACTGACCGTGTCAACTTCTCAGGTTTCATTTGGTGGTTGAATATGGCTCCTCCTTGTCTCTCAGTTCCTGAGTTTATGTGTTAATATGGCAACTGTGCAAACATACCGGGAACAAAGCAAGTAGAATGCCGAGTAAAAGATGAATGCAACAGAAGATCATGAGGAACAGAAGGAAATGCCTCACAATTGCTTCAAGCTGGATTAAAAGGACCTGGGTCCATTTAAAAAAAAAAATCCCCAGGCACCTGGGTGGCTCAGACTTCGGCTCAGGTCATGATCTCACAGCTGGTTGGTTTGAGCCTCACGTCAGGCTCTGTGCTGACAGCTCAGAATCTGGAGCCTGGTTCGGATTCTGTGTCTCCCTCTCTGCCCCTCCCTGCTCTCTCTCACGCCCCCCCCCAAAAACAAGTAAACATTTAAAAAAAATTTTTAAATAAAAACAAATCCCCAATGATGAAAAGTTTAAGATTGGCAAAACTAAGGAAACAAACAGAGGACTGTGGTGGATTGTTCAGGAAATATTTGCTCCCTCCCACTCCACCTCCATGAGAGAAGTACACTTTCCCACCCTGTTGGCGTGTGGAGCATACGTGCCTGCCCCCTATGACTTTGGGCTTGATTGTGTGACTTGCTTTGACCAGTGGATGGTGGCAGATATGAGGCAACCTGAGACTTGAAATGTGCTAACAGATGGGCTTGACCTCGGGTGCTTCTGCCTTTCCTTGGGAGATGGTGCCCTGGATAGCCTATGGTGCCAGAACAGGAGAGGCATGGGAAGCAGAATCAGCCTTGTCCACCTTCACAATGGGCAGCTCCAAGCTGTGAACGTGATAGATACATGCTGCTGAGGTAGCGATTGTTACGCAGCACCAGCGGATAACTGATACAAGGGACAAAAAACAGCTCATGCAACAAATCCACTGGAAATAGCAAGGACCAGAAGAAGAGACGTGATAATAGGCAAATACAGGTGGAAATGAGAAAGATTAAAGCAAGTACAGAGGAGCTAACAAATGTGAAGAGCAAACGAATAACTAGCATCCTTGCAATAAGGAGGAAACGAGAACAAGAAAATGTACTAAAATATATGATTCCGTAAAATGTGTCTGAAATTTAAAAAAAGTAAATCTGCGGGTGAAAAAATGAAAGGAGTCCGTGCACGCACCCACTCGTGTGATCCTTCCAGTAGGCCTGTAACACGGGCAAGGGCCTGTAACAAGTCGGGGAAACTGAGGGAACAGTAATGACAGGGCTTCGGCAACCGCGCGGGAGAGGGGTCCTGGTTGGAGAGAAAACCGGGTGCGGGTCAACCAGGACCTGGATCCTAGAGCCAAAGCAGGGATATAATTGGAGGAGACCGGATAGCGAATGGATTTCCAAAAGGAGCGAGTGGGAAGAGAAATCCTGGAGCAGGATTTATTCTGGACTTTGGAACGGAGTCGTAGAGAAACGCTACTCGCGGGCAGTGGCGCCTGCGCGTTGGGTTGTCTGCGTTTATTCCGGGAGACCGTTGGCCCAAACCAACGCAAGCGCATCCGCAGCCGCGTTTTGGCTGCGCCAGTGGGGTGTGGTTGGGCCCCGCGCGCAGGCGCACTGCCCGGCCCGGGCGCACCGCCTCCTCGCACCCGGACGGCGGCGGGTAGGCGGGGCTTCCTGCGTGCCCCAGAGCTAGGGGATTGTGGGATAGTGGCGGACGGAGCCGGGCGTCGGAGGCCCCGAGCCGACTGCAGAGCCCGAAGAGCCGGTCCGTTTGGGGAAGGGGGGCGGCGAAGGAAGTGAGCCTCGGCTTTCGTCGGCCGCTGCTCAGTCCTGCGGCCTGTCCGGACTGCCGAGGACAACGTCTTCCCTGACCGGCCTTTGCTTTCCCGCGCGGCGCCGGGCCGGGCCAGCCGGGGCCACTTCCCGGCTGAGGGCCTTCGCGGGCCTCGCGGCCGCACCGACCTCTCCGCGACCCTGGTCGCCGGCGAGCCCCGGACGCCCGTCTCCGTCCGCTCCCGGCCGGCGCTGACCCCCGGACTCGAGCTCGGCGCGCGGGGGGCTCCCCGAGGCCTGAAGGCGCGAGCGCGAGCCCCTGCCGCCGCCCCCCGCCCCCTCTTACCGGGCCCCTGAGGCGGGGCCGGAGCCGCTGGCGGCGGGGCGGGGGGGGCGCCCCGATGAGCCCCGAGTGCGAGGAGCCGCCGCCCCCCCGCGCAGGTGAGCGGCCGCCGCGGGCCCCCGGGTCCCCTGAGCGTCCCTTAGCACCCCAGGTCTCGGACCCCGCAAGGTCCTGAGTCTCCTCTCGGCCTTCCGCCAGCCAGCCCACCTCCTCGGTCTCCCTCCGATTCTCTGCTCGCTTCCAACTTCCCCTCCTCGGACTCAGTCCCACTGCCCTGGGACATCTCCATCCTTTCCTCCTCAGCCCCTTCCCCTGGAACACCTCCTTCCTGCTCTCAGACTCCCCGCCTCCGACCCTGACCCTGGCCCCGGGCTCAGGCCCACTAGAGTCGGGAGGCTCTCCCTGTTGTCTTCCCGGCTTAGCGTGTGAGGAGGGCTCGGGTAGCAGCCTGCGGAGCCAGCCAGGCCGGGCAGGGAGCCGAGGCAGGGACCAGCCCCAGGCCCTGCCCTGGGGAGACAAAGGCCCGCCGGACAGTCACAATTAGGGGTGTTGTGATGGAGGTAGCTCCGGGCATGCAGGCCGCAGAGGAGGGGCTGGAGACACTGGCTCTGTGGTGGCGTTCTCTTGGAGGGACGAGGAGGGGATGACAGATGGAGAGTGGGAAGAAGGGCCTTCCGGGTGGAAGGAACAGCACGTGCAAGCCTGTGACGGTGGGAACCTGGGAGTGGTCTGCGGAAGTGTTGGAGGGGCGGGTGGAGGACCTCGGTGCGTCCGCTTGTCCAGCCCCTCGAATGTGACCTCCTGGTTAGGGTCTTTCTTGCTTGCTCTTTCACACACCTGCGCCTGAGCTGAGGCCACAGACTTTACCACTAACGCCGGCCTGAGAGGCAAGATGTTTCTGGAAAGGAAGATGTGTTAGGTGTGGTGCGGGGTTCAGAGTGGTAAAGAAAGTGGGGTGTGAAATGGTGCTGGTGTCCCTACTCTTCTCACCAGGCGGCTCTGGGGGCAGCCCGTAGCCTAACGCACGGCACAGGAAGTGCTCCGTGATCAGCAGCTTTTAGGAGTATGACTAGGTTTGGGATTCCGCGTCACAGTGGCTCTCAGCTTGGGGCACTTGTGCCCCCCAGGGGACATTTGGCAATGTCAGGAGACACCAGTGGTTACAACGAGGAGGGTGCTGGCTCCCGATGCAGCCCTCCCCCCCGCCCCTGCCACAGAGGATTTTCCAGCCCCGCGTACCAGCAGTGCCATGGCCGAGGAGCCCTGCCTTCTACCTTGGGTGTCGTGCACAGTTTTGCCTTATCTGCCCTGTTGCTACCCATGAGCAGCTGTGGGTTCTGAGTTGTGTATTTTGATTTACTTTCGTATTTTCAGTGAGTTTTGTTGGGTCATCTGCTGTTTCTCTGCATCAGAGAAGAGCCCTCTGGCTCCTGCCTGCCCCGATCACCAACACTTTTTTCAGGATCTATGGAAGGTGACTTTAGCAGGTCACTTTCCCCTTCTGCACTTAAGTTGTTGTTGTTTTTTTTCCCCTTAATTAATTCAACAAGTATTTCTAGCTGTGGGTCTGGCCTTATACTAGGTCTTGGTAAATTGGCATCTTCCAGAGGGAGACAGGTGACTGAACAGGCAGATCCTGTCACAAAGCACCCAGATGCTGTCATGGGGTAAAACCACGGAAGCTGTGGAAGTGTGGAGCGGGCCCCTAACGCAGTCAGGGGAGGCTTCCTGGAGGAAGTGGTGTCTGTGCTGAAGCCTGAAGGACCCAGGAGGAGCAAATTGGGCCCAAAGAGCTGGAGGGAAGGCAGAGGGAGCAGCCAGCCAGGGCAGAGGCTAGGGTGCCCACGAGCAGTCAGGTGTGGCGGGAGTGTTGAGCGCCATGCGGGTTGCAGCAAGAGATGAGGTGAGATGAGGCCGGGGAGCTTTGGTGAGAACGAGAGGCCTTCCTGGTGCCCCTGGCTCACCAGCTCTGGGGCAGGCCCGGCACGTGGGGGGTGGGGACACGCCCTCCTTTCCAGGCCAAGCATGGTTTTTTCTTTGAACACCCGCTTTATAGATCTTCCCGTGGGAGGTGCGATCTTGCGGTTATCTGAGGTGTCTCTCGAGGGAGGAGACGGAGTCCAAGGCCACAGGGATTTTGTTTGGAGAAGCAGGATCAGAACCCAGGCTGTTCTGACTCTGGATCTCCCTGGAGCATTGACTCTGCTCCTCTTCGTGTTCCAAGGGCTATTTCAAAATCTGTTAGTTGTTTTCCCTTTTTTCCTTTGAACCCGTAACTGATCCAAGTGACCGTCCGGAATGTGAGCTTTCAGGCCCCTCCTCAGTCCTTGGCCAGGGGTCTGCAGTCTTCTACTTGCTAATTACTCCACCTCCCGGGGTCGGACCCAAGCGGCCACCTCCCCTGGGAGAGCGTGAGCTGGCTTTCCCAGGCCATGGACGGGTCCCGGCGTATTGTCCCCTGTGGCTGTGGTCGGGTCCCTCCTTCCCTGGCCCCAGCGGCCCCTTGTCCCAAATGGGTGTCCTGCTGCCGACCTTGCTAGGTCTGGGCTGCGCTCTGCATGCTACTCAGAGGTCGTGGGGGTGCCGTACTGTTGTCCTGTCCTTGGAATCGAAGTTGTGTACCCCCTTCCCAGACTTGGCAGAGAGCTGATGGCTGGGGAGACTTGGGGGAGGTGGTCTCACAGTCCTTGGACCTGCTGAGCCCTGCAAGGGGCTGGGGCCGGCCTTTCGGTCGTTGGTTCTCCCCCCTGCCAGGGCTCACCTAGCTCGGGCCCACAGCCTGTGGGCCTGTGACGGCTGAGGGCGGAGGCGGCTGCAGGCCAGAGAAGGTCTCTCCCAGCACCAGAGCCCGTGGAGGCGCTCGCGGGGGCAGGCCCCTGGCAGACGAAGGAGGCGTGGAAGGTGAAGGGCCGGGCCCCGGGCCCCCCGGCCCCGACGGAGGCCCCGACGGAGACGGTGGAGGCAGATCGGCAGCGCTCCGGGTCCTGCAGCCAGGCCCTGTCCGAGCCCGGGCGGGGCGGGGGCGGGGGTGGGCAGGCTCCTGAGAGGGCAGCTGCGGTCAGAGGCCTGAGAACAACGCTGCAGGGCAAGAGACCCGAGGCGACGGTGCCAAGCTGGCGGGGGGAGAGAGGTAGTTTTCGTTTTTAATGGCTTCCTTTCTCATTTACAGTTTCCCCTTCTTCCGTTTGCAGCCAGTCATGGTTTTCAAACGGTCGCTAAAAACCAGTGGTAGTCACTTCCGTTTTCTTGAAGTTTGCTAAAAGTTGCTTAGGGTGGGGGTAGTGGGGTGCTAGGCGCCTGCTGGAGTATTTGAATGACCTGGGTCGCTCAGGCAGATGTGTGGAGAGCCTGGCTCTGGGTTTTCTGTTTTTGAAGCTGTCACCCCTGGGTTAGCGTCGGGCTCCTTCCCTTCCTTTGGGAGGGTCTGGGACACACAGGAAGGGGCCGCCAGGTGCTGTGTCGGGACCACCTGCCTGAGGTGGCCCTTCTCACAGGACTCTTCCTGAGGGCTGTGGACCCATTTCACAGATGAGGAGATGAGGCTCCAGGACACCAAGTGCCTGGTCCAGGCTCACCCCAGTAGAGAGTGAGATGGAACCCCCCTCTCTGGTCCATCTGATTCCCAGGGCTTCCAGCAAGTTGTGTGAGCTGTATGTGCGTGTTCTTCTGTGTGCGAGTGTATGCGTGTGAGCTGTGTGTGCGTGTGTGTTCTCCCGTGTGTATGTGTGTGAGCTGTGAGTGTGTGTGTGCTCTCCTGTGTGTGAGCTGTGTGTATGCGTGTTCTCCTGTGTGTGAGCTGTGTGTGCGTGCGTGTTCTGTGTGTGTGAGCTGTGTGTGCGTGTGTGTTCTCCTGTGTGTGTGAGTATGTGTGTGAGCCCTGTGTGCGTGTGTGTTATGTGTGTGAGCTGTGTGTGCGTGAGCTGTGTGTGTGCATGTGTGTTCTGTGAGTGTGTTTGTGAGCTGTGTGTGCATGAGCTGTGTGTGTGCATGCATGTTCTCCTGTGTGTGTGTGAGAGCTGTGTGTGTGAATGCATGTTCTTCTGTGTGTGAGTGTGTATGTGAGCTGTGTGCGTGCATGTTCTCCTGTGTGAGTGTGTATGTGAGCTGTGTGCGTGTACGTTATCCTGTGAGCTGTGTGTGTGCATGTGTGTTCCCGTGTGTGTGTGCGCACGTTCTCCTGTGTGTGAGTGTGTGTGTGTGTGTGTGTGCGTGTTCTTCTGTGTCTGCATCACTGTGTCGTGTAGAGTTTGAGACGTGACACCTTTGTAGGGTGCCAGCCACCACTCACTTGCATGCGGTCCTTGCAGTCTCCTCTGATTTTTGGAGGAGCGGCCTGAGGTTCTGAGAGGCCCCTGGAGCCCATACCCCATCGCACCCAGTACCTTCTGTCTTACTGTGGCTGGGCCCTCCCCTACCCATCCCTCCCCAGGTCTCTGGAAAGCAGCTTGAGGAAGGAAGCCCTAGCTGCTGTCCAAAACTGGCCCGCCGGAGGGGGGCAGGTTGGGGATGCTGCCCGGAGCCCGCGCCCTCTAACTGGGTGCTTTGGAAGTGGGCGGGCCTCAGCTTTGACAATTTCCACCTGTAGACAGGAGAGCAGGGCCGGCAGAGTCTGGTTCTGCCTCTTGGTGGCCATGGCTCCGTCCCTGTGGGCCCCTGTCCCCATGTCTCTCAAATGGGAATATTCACTTCCTTGTCTTGATGTGGAGACCAGGTGCCCATGCCAGTGCATAGCTGCCCCTCAGCTGTGGGGGGCCCTGCTCAGTTCAGGGACACAAGTGTGGAAGGGGAGCCTGCGCTTGCCCTCTGTGGCAGCTTGGGGACACGGGGTATGGAAGGGGAGCCTGCGTGCCCTCTGGCAGCTCGGGGACACGGGGTGTGGAAGGGGAGCCTGCGTGCCCTCTGGCAGCTCGGGGACACGGGGTGTGGAAGGGGAGCCTGTGTGCCCTCTATGGCAGCTTGGGAACACGGGGTGTGGAAGGGGAGCCTGCGTGCCCTCTGGCAGCTCGGGGACACGGGGTGTGGAAGGGGAGCCTGCGTGTGCCCTCTGTGGCAGCTTGGGGACACGGGGTATGGAAGGGGAGCCTGCGCATGCCCTCTGTGGCAGCTCAGGGACACAGGGTGTGGAAGGGGAGCCTGCGCGTGCCCTCTGTGCTTCAGCTTTTCTGGCAGCTGGCGTCTGGTCAGCTCTGGGTGACTTGGACACAGAGTGAGGCCTGGCCCTGTCACCACAGGCCTGGGCAACTTTGGTTTTGTGTTTGGTAGTGGTTTTCGTTGAGATACAATCCATACGTCATGTGGTTCATCTATTTAAAGTGTACAGGCTGGTGGTTTCTAGTGTATTCGGAGTGGAGCGGCCATCACCGTAGTAGGTGGATTTCATTGAGGTATAATGGACAGAATTGTGTACATTCAATTCTAGAACTTTTGTGTGTTTTTTTTTTAAACATGCTTTTCCCAAAAGGAAATCCCATACTCCGTAGCAGGCGCTCCCCACCCCCTCGCCCCCGGCTCCCCCAACTCCTGAAAACCACTCCCCTGCTTTGGCTGACGTTTCACTTGCGTGGCGTCCCACAGCACGCCATCCTTGGAGACTGGTTTCGCTCCTTGAGCCTAGGGGGTCCTTTGACATCTCTGGTCTCCTGCTCACATGACAGTCGCCCGTGGAGAAGGAGGTGGGCCTGGCCCCGCGTTCGCCCAGCCCAGGAGGTGTGCCCGCATCGGCCACCAGTGCCTCGGGGCTGGCGTCACCTGTGGCAGCCCTTAGTTCTCTGGCCTGTAGCACAAGGCCTGTCACAGACTTGTTACTCAGTGAGAGGGGATGGCCATTGAGTGTGGAAGGGTTTCTGGAAAAGGTCTAGGATCCGAGCAAACAGAGGGATTTGCCTGTGTGCAACGGAGACTCGCCGAGCGCTTTAGAGCGTGGGGGGAGATGTTGGATGCTCTCCCCGCCGCACGGCCTGGGGACGCACACTCGGCACGGGCTCAGCCCACCCTCGCCCTCCTCCCCTCCCCACCCCCACCTGTGACTGTGGTTTAACAGTGGGGCTGGGGACGTGGGGAAGCGATGCCTTGGCAGATACGTCACCTGCTGCCTCAGAGCGGGCAGGGGCCTTATGATGGGGGAGGGGGGTGCAGATGGAGGTATCTTTCTGCTGCTATTTCTGAGCAGAGTCGCATACCAGGTTGTGTGCTGGGTGCTGCCCATCGTCCGGTCTGGGCACCAGGCACATGCACCATGTGACGGCACATTGCCGTGCAGGCCGGGCTATACGTCCCAGAGGCCTGCTTCCACCTTCTCAGGGCCTAGACGCCTGGCAGGAGACCCCAAGGATGAGAAGGAGCGGGTTACCGGGGCATCCCAGGCCAGCGAGGCAGCAAGAGCAGAGTTGCTAAGAAGAACCAAGGCCTGATGTGCTTTGCACACAGGAAGGCCAGTGTGTCCAGTGCAGGTGAGGAACGCGGTGTGAGCGGGGCTGGAGGAGCCGGCCACGCAAGCCTGCGGCCAGGGTGGGTTTAGCCGTGTTTGAGAGCAGAGGGAAGCCCTCAGGCCCCTGAGCACAGCTGCAGGTTAGACAGGCCCCCCGGTGGCTGGGTGCCGGGCAGGTGTGCAAGGCTGCACCCCCCTGAATTCAGAGGTGTCTCCTGAGTAAGCGCTAGACTTGTTGCTGAGCGTCCCACCGAGCCCCTGAGGCCCAGGAACGGGCCGGCCAGTCAGAGCCTGGGTGACGATGGCGGAGCCGGGTCCAGCTGGCCCGCCCAAACTTGGGCCTGAGCCTGCCCGCTTCTCTGTAAGAAGCGAGACCTTACCTTCCGGGGGGCCTCACGCGTAGGATAGGCCATCCATACCATCCTGGGGCTGTCATGACAGTGGGGGAGACGAGGGCCAGGTGGTCCTGAGAGCGGTCAGTACACAGTGTGGGAGGCCAGCGTGGCGTGCAGTCAGGGAAGGGCCCCCGTTCCTGCGATGCCGGGAGGCTTCGGTGTCCAGCAGGGGGCCGGGGCAGCACTGTCCTGCGGGCACCTGCTCAGGAGGGCCGCACACGCCTGCGTGGCAGCTGCAGGATGATGTGTGAGGGCCAGCCTGTAGCTTGCCTGGGGAGGGGTGGCGCAGGTGTGAGAGCCGGCGCTGCGGGAGTGGAGGTCCCAGGGGAGGCCCGGCTTGGCCCGAGCGGGGCTGGAAGGCTGGCAGGGACCCCTCAGGTCTCAAGTGCCGAAACCCAGGGAGCCCTTTTGGGCTTCTGGCCGCGAGTGAACACCAGGCACTCAAGTTGGTGTTTCAGAAAAGTGGCCAGCGTGGGGTGGGGTGGAGTGTGGAGGGCTAAGGGGCGAGTCCCTGTGTGCTGTGGGACGGGACCTCCGGGCCTGTGGGAGGGCTCCCACTGTCCTGTGGGGGGCCTGGCGCCTGCTGCGATCGTCCATGGCGGCGCTGCCTCCGCTGCCATCATCCTGGGCCAGCGCCGAGGAACCACCAGGACCCCGGTATTTGGGATCGTGGCACATTTGGAGCCACCTGTTCCTGGGCACGGCGGGGCGGGTGGAGGTGAGTGGTCTCCTGCAGAGGCTGGGTGCTGACGGCGGGGCGGGGGGGCCGCGTGGAGGTGAGTGGTCTCCTGCAGACGCTGGGTGCTGACGGCGGGGCGGGGGGGCCGCGTGGATGTAAGAAGTCTCCTCCCGAGGCTGGGTGCTGACGGCGGGGCGGGGGGGGGGCACGTGGAGGTGAGTGGTCTCCTGCAGAGGCTGGGTGCTGACGGCGGGGCGGGGGGGGGGGCGCGTGGAGGTGAGTGGTCTCCTGCAGACACTGGGTGCTGGAGGCGGTGTCCTGAAGGGAATGAGGCCGCGCGTGTCCCCCTCTGCCCTGGGTGTAAGCCCTGACTGCTTCCTTCCTGATGGAGTCAGAGCCACTTTCTGCTCTGGGCCTGTGCTCCATTTTTGGCTGACAGGTTTTCCATGGTTGGGGTGATGTGGGGTAGAGAAGGTGAGGGAGGGCCCCAGTCCGTCATCGGTGGCCTCTGCCTCAGGTGGTCTTCACACGGCAGGTGATGAATGTGGGCTCTGGGCGGCACCTGTGTGGCGCTGGGGGAGCCCCGCTCTCCTCGGCGTGCGTTGTCCATCTTGCCTCGGGGTGGCGACACCTCCTCAGAGGGGCCACGGGTGCCCTGCGTGGGGGAGCGTGATGGCAGGTGCAGGGCGGGGCTTGCGGGGGGTCTGGACTGGCAGCCATAGGCTTCCGTAGGGGCCTGGCTGAGTCCACGAGATAGCGGGCTCAGACCGGCAGCACCCAGGGGTGCTCCTGGTGTAGTGCTCCCGGTGGCAGCCAGCTGCTTGGGCTGGGCCGGGGGTGCGCCACGGCCTGTCCTCCTCCCCACTGAGTCAGTTACCCTGTCTTGGTGCCTTCGGGCCCCAGTCAGCGGCTCTTCTGGGAGGGCCCCTCCCCCTGCTTTTCCTCTTCCTTGTCCCGGGCCCTGGGTGGGGGCGGGTGGGTGTGTTTGTGTGTGTGTGTGTGTGTGTGTGTAGCATCCAGGCAACAGCCACAGCCCGGAGAGTCATCTCAGACTTCCCTCTGCCACCACCCCACGCCCTGCATATCGCATGGTGATTTGCTGGGTTGGCCGGCAGCCCCGTGCTGGCGACCATGGGGCATTTGAACTTGTCCAGCAAATACAGATTGAAGCGAATCTGATGCCAGAGGCTCTAGGAAGAGCCCTGCTCCCGCCCCGACTCGGGGGGTCCCTGCCCAGATTTGGGACCGTGGACACAGGCCCTGGACGGGGACAGGATCACAGAGCTCTTCTCTGCAGGCCCCGTGTGTGCAGCCCACCCCCACCCCCACCCCCTGGGTCTTCACCCAGGCGTGGGGGCAGAGGGCTAGTCAGGACCATTGGCCCCGGGTGGGCAGTGACCCCCTGGACTAGAGGGTGGCCCTGTCAGGCTGCCACGGTCGTCCCGCAGTAGGCGGCTGAGGTTGGGGGGGGCAGGGCAGAGCAGAGCCAGCAGAGGCTGTTGTGTGACAGGCCCCTTCCCCAGGGCGCCATGTTTTGGAAGTTTGACCTGCACACGAGCTCACACCTCGACGCGCTGCTGGAGCGGGAGGACCTGAGCCTGCCCGAGCTCCTGGACGAGGAGGACGTGCTGCAGGAGTGCAAGGTTGTCAACCGGAAGCTGCTGGACTTCCTGCTGCAGCCACCACACCTGCAGGCCATGGTGGCCTGGGTCACCCAGGAGCCGCCCGCCAGTGGCGAAGAGCGCCTGCGCTACAAGTGAGCCCCGCCCCGCCCCGCCTGTCCCGCAGCTGCCTGGCTTGGGGCCTGTGCAGGCAGGGGGCCGGGAGGCAGGGGTGAAGTAGGGCGGTGGGGGTCGCGTCCAAGCCTAGGAGGTTGGCTGCAGCCTTGGGGGCACTGGGGAGCTGCGAGTGGGTTCTGACAGGAGGGCAAGTGAGGTGAGGGTGCCCCCGTCAGCTTCCCTGGCGTTTGTCACCCTTTCTGGATGTGAACCCCAGGTACCCCAGCGTGGCCTGCGAGATCCTGACCTCAGACGTGCCCCAGATCAACGACGCGCTGGGCGCAGATGAGTCCCTCCTGAACCGGCTCTACGGCTTCCTGCAGAGCAGTGGCAGCCTCAACCCGCTGCTCGCCAGCTTCTTCAGCAAGGTCATGGGCATTCTTATCAACCGCAAGACAGACCAGGTACCGCCGCACCGGGCCAGGGCTGTGGGCTTGCTGGTGCGTGGGCCCTGGGTCCTGCCGAGTGACGAGGCTGCCCCTCCGGCCCCCAGCTCGTGTCCTTCCTGCGGAAGAAAGACGACTTCGTGGACCTGCTTCTGCAGCACATCGGCACCTCTGCCATCATGGACCTCCTGCTGCGTCTCCTCACCTGCGTGGAGCGGCCGCAGCTGAGGCAGGACGTGGTCAACGTGAGCGCGGGGGCGGGGCGGGGCCGGGGCCGGGGCCGGGGTGGCGGCGGGCGGGCTCGTGAGCCAGGGTGAGCCAAGCCTCGGCTTCTCACCCCCAGTGGCTCAATGAGGAGAAGATCGTACAGCGGCTCATTGATCAGATCCACCCGTCCAAGGATGACAATGTGAGTGTCCCCTGCTCGGCTGCTGTCCCTACCTGTGGCCCTGTCTCTTTCACCTCAGAGCTGCTCTTCACACCAGCTTTGCTCCTCCTCCCTTCTTAAGAGGTGAACTGAGGAGGAAGGGAAGCGTGGGAAGCCGGCGTGTGTGGCCTTTCCAGTCTGCGGCTGCGAGGAAGGGGGCCAGGCCCCCTGGACCCCACGGACCGGGTCTGGTGAATCAGGAGCGTGGCCGCCATCTGATGAGTCACAGCCTGAGGAGCAGCCTCTGACTCTAGGCCCCCTCACTGCCAGCCTCCCCTGGGTCCCTTACCCACGCCCTCCCTTGCTGACTGTGACCTGAGCCTACCTGTACTTCGGAGAATCTGTGCCGAGGCAGAGGGCCCGCACCCTCACTGCGGCCCGCGGGGCCTCACCGTGTCTTCCGGGGCTGGTAGCTTACGGAGCCAAGGTCCACGGGCGCGGGTCATCACCCGGGCACCAATGCGTGCCCATCCCGGCAGGGTGAGGACCGTGCAGGCCTGTGACACAGGGGCTCTGAAGAGTGAGCGGCCCGTGGCCGGGCGGGCCTGGGGTCTGCACAGGTGGGCCCTGGCAGCTGCCCTGTACGTCACACTCAGTTCTGCTCGTGTTTCACTTGGCTTGTTTTTGTAACAGCTTTGTTGACATACAGGTTACATGCCGTGTGGACCACCTGTTTAGAACACAGCAGTCAGTGGTTTCTAGCGTATTCACAAATTGTGCGGTTATCGCCACATTGTTCTAGGATTTTTTTTTTTTTATTACCCCTGAAAGGAAACCCTATGCCCATCAGCTGTCACTCCATTCCCTCATGGTCCCCCAGCAGCCATGAGTGTGTTCTCGGTCTCTGGCTTTGCCTCTCCTGGACTGTCTGTATGAATGGAATCACAGAATATGTGTTTTTCATGACTGGCCTCCTTGCTCACCTGTGTTGTGGCATGTCAGTGCTTCGTCCCTTTCTAAGGCTGAGGAATATTCTGGCATGCAGACACATCCCAGGTGCTTATCCACTCATCAAACACTGGACATCTGGTCGTTCCCTCCTTTGGTTACAGCAGATAGGGTGTCACCTTCTCCAGGAAGCTTTCCTGGGTTTCCCAGTTCTTTGCTTTCTCTCGTCTCCCAGCATTTGGTGCCTTCTGTTCCTTCCCTTAGCATTTGTGTCCCTATGTTTGTGTGACCCTGTGACCCTCCTCTCCTGTTCCTTCAGGCCAGCTGGTCAGCTCAGGAGGGCCCGGCAGCTGGGCCGGTGTCCTCAGCTCTCTGTTTGCCTCCCCAGCAACATTCCAATGCATCCCAGTCCCTGTGCGACATCATCCGCCTGAGCCGGGAGCAAATGATCCAGGTCCAGGACAGCCCAGAGCCCGACCAGCTGCTGGCCACCCTGGAGAAGTGGGTTTTCGGGCAGTTCCCAGGCCCAGGGAGGGAAGCTGTCCGGGGCCCTGCGCTCTGACCCCCGCCCCTGTCCTGCCCCCTGCCCCAGGCAGGAGACGATCGAGCAGCTGCTTAGCAACATGCTGGAGGGGGAGCAGAGCCAGTCTGTCATCGTGAGCGGGATCCTAGTGCTGCTGACTCTGCTGGAGCCCAGAAGGCCGAGGTGAGGGGGCCCAGCCCCCCAGCCGTGCCCTCCCATCTAGAGGCGAAGGTCATGGGACACGGCCTCTACAAGTGCTAGTCCCTTCGTGGTGGTCACTTAAGGTCCTTGGAGGAGAGTCCTCTGCTTGTATCTGAGGCCAAGTAAACCCCCTGTGGGCTGGAGCTATAGCTGTCTGAATCCAGGGCCCTTCAGGCACGTGGTTGCCTGAGATAGATGGGCCTGTCCCGTGCGGTCCCTGGGCATCCGATCCTCGCCCTGCGCTTCCCAGGGAGGCAGTTTCTCACTCCCTTCCAGAGGTGCCGCCCGTGTGTGTATCGTGCACACAGGTCCTCTGTCATGTCCCCACCGCAGGTCTGAGTCTGTGACTGTGAACAACTTCTTCAGCAGTGTGGACGGGCAGCTGGAGCTCCTGGCCCAGGCGACCCTGGACAGCACCACGTCCAGTGTGGGCGCCCTGCACGCCCTGCGCCCACGCCTCGGCCGTTTCCACCAGCTCCTGCTCGAGCCCCCTGAGGTGGGCTGGGACGCCAGGGAAGGAGGGTGGCAGGGAGGGTGGCCCCACATCTCGGGCAGTGCTGAGCCTCCCCTGTGCCTATAGCTGGAGCCGCTGCGTACCACGTGGGGCAGCCTGGCCCCCCCACTGGGCAACACGCGGCTGCACGTGGTCAAGCTGCTGGCCAGCGCCCTGAGTGCCAACGATGCGGCCCTGACCCAGGAGCTCCTGGCACTGGATGTGCCCAACACCATGCTGGTGCGGAGGGCAGGGGCGTGGGAGACTGAGGGTCAGGACTGGGTGGGGCCCCTGGGCAGGGACGGGGGGACAAGGCTGATGGGGCACCTCAGTGCCAGCCTGTGCCACTCCCACCCAGGACCTCTTCTTCCACTACGTGTTCAACAACTTCCTGCACGCCCAAGTGGAGTCGTGTGTGAGCGCCATGCTGAGTGCTGGGCCTCCGTCCGACAGCGGCCTCGAGACACCTGCCCCTAACCCCGTCGTGAAACATGTGAGCTCAGCTCCCAGGTCCCCTTCTCTCTCGGCGGGCGGGTGCTGCCCCGGGTCTGCCTGCTGGAAGCCTGTGCGTGCTGGGGGCAGGGCTCGGCCTTGTCTTAGATCTGTCTGTGAGAAATGGGGGTGACGTTTAGGTAGGTGCGGGATGTGGTGCTCCCTGGGCAGCGGGTGTCCTGGAAGACAGAGATGGTCTCCTGCGTGACGGCCACCACATTAGGGGAGGTGCCTCCCTGGATGTAGCCCAGGGCCTCAGGGAGGAGCTGTCCAGCAGCACCTGGGGTGTGGACGGGGTGTGGACTGCAGTGACCAGTGACGGCAATAGTGGGAGGCCCTCTGAGGGAGGGTGGGGCTGGAGGGATGCAGGGGAGGAGGGGTGAGCTGGGGAGGAGGGGCGCCTGAGTCTGGCCCCACCCCCACCCGCAACCTGTTCTTCCAGCTGCTGCAGCAGTGCCGCCTGGTAGAGCGCATCCTGACCTCCTGGGAGGAGAACGAGCTTGTGCAGTGAGCTTCCCCCGCCCCTTGGCCCCAGGGGAGGGCGGGGCAGGGGCTCGTGTGGCCAGAGTCCAGCTGTGGCCTCTGATCTTGTCCAGGTCTGCAGGGGGCCCTCGCAAGGGCTACATGGGCCACTTGACGAGACTGGCCAACGCCTTGGTGCAGAACTCGGAGAAGGGGCCCAATGCTGAGCAGCTGGGGCAGCTGCTGAAGGGTGAGCGCCTGGGTGGGGCACGCCCCGGCGCTGGGGGGGCGGGGGTGAGGCCGTGGGGCCCCTCACATCCTCTCCCCTCCCCACCCCTCCCCTGGGAGCAGACCTGCCCAGTGAGCAGCAGGAGCAGTGGGAGGCCTTCGTTTCGGGACCCCTGGCGGAGACGAACAGGAAGAACACAGTGGACCTGGTGAGGCTCTCCTCCTCCATCGGGCTCTCCCTGGCACCCACCGCCCTGGTCCTCACCCCTGCCTGCCCGCCCGCCCCAGGTGAGCACCCACCACCTGCACTCCTCCAGCGACGATGAGGATGACCGGCTCAAGGAGTTCAGCTTCCCAGAGGAGGCAGTGCTGCAGCAGGTGGGCTGCGGGGCGGGGCGGGGGCTGCCCTGCTCCTCCGGGCCCCACCCGGCCCCTGACCACCACCCTGCCGCAGGCCTTCATGGACTTCCAGATGCAGCGCATGACCTCTGCCTTCATCGACCACTTTGGCTTCAACGACGAGGAGTTTGGGGAGCAGGAAGAGAGTGTGAAGTGAGTGAGCCCTCTGCAGGGTGGGGGCACGGGGACCGCGGCGCAGAAAGCGAGCGCCCACCTGCCCTGTGTGGGCGGGTGGGCTCCTCCTGGCGGCTCTCCCATCCTCCTGGTGTGGGCGGGGCAGGCCTTGTGCGGAGCCCCTGGGATGGGCCCTGGTGGCCAGAGCGGCCCCCACGTCCCTGTGCTGCACAGGCCCCGGGCTGACGAGAGAAGCTCCTTCAGCAACTAGTCGTGCTGCTCTGGGATTGCCGGGTAATAGTATTTCACCAGGTGTTGCCGTCACCGTCTTCCTTCTGTATTTTCCAAGTTTTCCACCCCAGGTGTCTATTACTTTTATAATCAAGAGAAGAAAATAGAATTTTCTAACGTCACATAAATCATACTAGCCATCTTGTGGCAGCAATAGGAAAGCAGTGAAAGGCCAGTGGCTGAGTGTCACTTGTGGGGGCGGGGGGTATGCGGATGTCTCTGGGTCGGGGGGCGACTGAGCTGAGGTCCTTGTTTGCGTCTGCTGCATCACTAGCGGTGTGCCGGGTGCTTCTCGGGCGGTGCCCACCGCCCCCTCTGCTCGGGGCTCAGGGGCCTCGTTACAGCCGGGGAGACCGAGGTGCATGTCGGTCGGTGTGGGAGCAGGATCACCGTGCGGTGTGATGAGCCGGGGTCGGCGGCCGGCCTGTGTCTCCCACGCGGATATGAACTGTGTCCGCTGCTGCTCTGCCCAGCCCGGCACCCAGTGCATGGACGGCCTGGCGTTGCTGGCTGAGTTCCCAGCTGGGCCCTGGAGAAGGCTGCGTCCTGGTAGAGGGTGGTGGCGCCGCCCGCTGTTCTCTTGATGGAACTGTGTAGCCTCCACAACCACATCATTTCCAGCGCGGCTTCAAACTCTTTCATAAACCTTGAAAGCCGTGAAGTGTTCTAGAATGGAAGGCAGATGAATGTTTTTAGGACGCTGGAGCTGACGACCTTGCCTGCAGGGCCTGGACTGCCGGGGGACTGCCCTCCCGCCCCGGCACGCCCGGCTCCTTGTGTCTGGGCGGAGAGGCCTTGAGGACCCTGCGTGGCCGTGTCTGCACGGTGTTGGGAGCCGGGGCGTGCTCTGATGGGATCTTCGTGGCCGCGTTTCCCCAGGGGGGGCACACGTGGTAACAATGCAGGGGACGGACAGATGCCCGTCGCCACCAGAGAAGAAGTGGGGAAAGGGTACGGCAGAGCCGCACTGGGTTCCTGGCCGCACTTGGTGTGGACGCCGAGGACGCCTGTGCTCACTTCCCGGAGCGGGAAGCGTTTCCGTGGGGCTCTCAGGAAGGGAGCTGAGCAGAGGGAGCAGGTGTGGGCCCAGGAGAGGTGGGTGTGGCAGGGCGAGTCCTGGCCCCAGACCGAGCAGCTCTGGCTGGACGTGCGGGCTGTGTGCCGTGGCCCTGGAGACACCCCCACTTGTGGCCCATGGCCACGGCCTCGTTCAGTTTTGTTTCTTTGGTCTCAGCTTAAGTTGTGTGCGGCTGCTCCAGCGACCGGAGGTGGCCCGGGGCAGCTCGGGGATGGAGCAGGGAACAGAGTAGGCGCCGTCCGTCAGAGTCGGCACACGTTCTCTCTCCATTTCTGAGCGCGGCCGCCGTGGGTCCAGTCACCGTGGGCACTAGGCTGCCTCCGGGGGGAACGTGTGCCTGTGTGAGGAGCTCACCTCGAGGCGCTAACGGGCGCCCCCGTGAGGGCCGACACGGAGGCGGGGCGGGCGCAGGAGAAGCCTGACGCAGCGGCTGCCTCACCGCCGCGGCCCTTCCCTCCTAGCGCGCCTTTCGACAAGACCGCCAACATCACCTTCTCCCTCAACGCCGACGACGAGAACGTGAGTGCCGCCCCGTCCTTGGGGGGCGGGGCGGGGGGCCCGCAGACAGCCGCCCACCGCAGCCCCCCCCCCTGCACCCCGCAGCCCAACGCCGGCCTGCTGGAGATCTGCTACAAGGACCGAATCCAGCAGTTCGATGACGATGACGACGAGGACGAGGACGAGGGCCAGGGCTCCGGGGGCTCTGACGACGAGGACGGCGCCTGGCAAGGCCGCCCGCTGGCCCGCGGAGCCCGCCTGGGCCCGCCCCCCGGCGTGCGGTGAGTCCACTCTGCCTCCGCAGCCTGCGGGGCCGGAGAGGAGTGAGCAGCGCGTGGTGCGTGCGTCGGGGGGGGGGGGGGCACATCGGTGTTGAGCGCTGGAAACCAGCTCCCGAGTTCAGCTACAGAGGGGACAGGGCGGCAGCTGCGTGTGGCCGGGGAGACGCGGGTCCCTGGGGGGCGGCCGGGTGCAGGCGCAGCTGTGGCGCCGCTCTGCTCTCCCCACGTGTGCCCCCGTGGGTGTCCCCACAAAGCGGCTGACGTGCCCCCGGGAGCCCCCACGCCTCCCTCCATTGCAGGAGACGCGGTGCTGGGGCCTCCCTGAAGGCAGCCACCGGCTCTTCGCGCATCCGACTCGTGGCTTGTGAACGTGCACGCGGGGCCTTTGTCCCCGTGGCTTCTGGCTTGAGGGTCACGCTGTGCGCCGTACCTTCCTCGCGCACGGCCCCATCGACCCCCCCCCCCGTTGCCCGCACCCGGATGAGGGAGCAGGGCCATCCCCGCGGACTGTGTCCCCGACGGTGGCGTCCTGACGTCCTGCCCTGTAATAGACCTGCCTCCTCCTCCCACTTGTGAGGCCCCCACCCCCACCGTCCGCCGGACGTGCTGCTGTGTTGCTGGCCAGGCCGACGTGCGCCCTGCGTGGCCTTGCACACCCAAGTCATGGCCCGCCCCGTGTGGGCTGTGTGTGTGTGGTGTGAGGGGGTCCAGCTTCCCCCTCTGCCCGTGCAAATGTCTTCTTCCCGGCCCCGCTGGTTGAAGACGCTGCCCTTTCCCGGCTGAGCGGGCCTGGCGCCCTGTCACAAGTCATCTGACGCACGTGCAGTTGTAGTACGGCCGCTCTGGGCCCACTGTTCCTTCTCCTGAGACCTCCCTGCCTTTTTTTTTTATTATTAAATTTTTTTAACGCTTGTTTATTTTTGAGAGAGAGAGACAAACAGAGCACGAGCAGGGGAGGGGCAGAGAGAGAGGGAGACACAGAATCTGAAGCAGGCTCCAGGCTCTGGGCTGATAGCAGAGAGCCCGACGCGGGGCTGGAACTCATGAACCGGGCCTGGAGATCATGACCTGAGCCAGACGCTTAACCAACTGAGCCACCCAGACTCCACCTAATTTTTTTTGTTACTTTAGCAGGGGAAAGAGGCCACATGAGCAGAGGAGCGGGATAGAGGGAAAGAGAATTTTTTTTTAAGGTTTTTTTTTTTTTAATTTTTTATAGTTTTTTCTTTTTGAGACAGAGAGAGAGACAGAGGATGAGTGGAGGAGGGGTAGGGAAAGAGACACACACAGAATCCGAAACAGGCTCCAGGCTCTGAGCTGTCAGCACAGAGCCTGACCCGGGGCTCGAACCCACGAACCGCAAGATCATGACCCGAGCCGAAGTCGGACACTTAACTGAGCCACCCAGGTGCCCCAAGGGAGAGAGAGAATCTTAAGCAGGCTTTATGCTTATCTCAGAACCTGATGTGGGGCTCGATCCCATGATGGTGAGGCCATGACCTGAACCAAAATCAGGAGTCCGCCCCCCAACCAGCCGAGCCGCCCAGGGCCCCGTCCCAGTTTTGTTCACTGTTGTCGTGTTGTAAGTTTGGAAGTCAGGAAGCGTGGGGGCTGCAGGTTTGCTGTTGTGTTTCAGATTGTGTTGCCTCTTCGGGGTCCCTCGGGATTCGGTGTGACTTGTAGGGTCAGCTTGGTAATGTCCGCAAGGAGGGCAGCCAGGATGGAGAGGACCCGTCTGGGACCCGTAGGCCAGTGGCCCTGCGAGCCGCATTCCGTCTTCCAGTCCGTGAACACGGAACGACTTTCCTTTTATTTAGGTCTTTCGTAGGCTGTAAGTTTCATGCTTTCTGTGTTAAATTTATTCCTGCGTAGGTTACGTAAGTGGAATTTTGAGACCGTCACGAGCCTGCAGAAACAGAGTGGATTATTGTGCGTCAGCACTGCGCCCCGCAGCAGCTCACTCGCTCTGGCAGCCGCAGCGGGGCCCGAGGGTCGTCTGCGCCGAGAGCTTCCCTCCTCCTTTTCCCTCCTCGCGCTCCCGCACGGTCCTGAGCCGAGGTGGCGAGCAGCCTCGCTCTTGCTCCCGACCTTGGGGACCCTTGGGAACCGTCTGGTCTCCCTCCTCCTTGTGTGATGGTCCCTGTGGGTTAGGAGATGCATGCGCCCCCGCCCCCGATCCCGGAAGCTCCCTTCTGCTCCCTCTTTGCCGAGCGCCTCCGCGTAGCTCGGCGGCGTGCAGACGGGCCCCTGTTCGCTCAGCGAGCGTTCAGGCCACGGCTGTGCATTCCGCGGGACGCAGGAGCAGCTCGGTTCTTAACTGTGTCCGTTGGCGACACGGGCCGGTCGGGCGGTCCCCACGGCTGGGTCGTGTGCCGGTCGACACTTAGAACTCAGTTTGGGAGTGGCTGCCCCTGAGTGTGTGGCTGGAGGGAGAGTCAGGCGGGGGCGGGGGCTGCTCCCGTCAGGACGGCTCCGGCATCCCCTCACCCCCGGGACCCCCGGAGGCACTGACCCGCTGTGCTGTGGCTTCCCCCCTGCCCCCGCTCGCCCCCTGCTGTCCCCGGGCAGCCGGGACGCCGCTGACCGGGGGTCTCTGGGCAGGAGCGGAGGCAGCACAGACAGCGAGGACGAGGACGAGGAGGAGGAGGAGGACGAGGGCGACGGCCGAGCGGCCAGTGGGGGCACCGGGCCCCCCCGGCACCCCAGCCCTGGCCCCCGGCCTCCAGGTGGGCGAACGCGCGGGGCGGGGCGGGGCGGGGCGCACGTGGCGTGTCCACCTGCCGGCTCACCTGCCCTCTGCCCTCCCCCTGCCCAGGCCCCAGCTGGACAGCCACCTTTGACCCAGTGCCTACAGACGCCCCGACCGGCCCCCGAGACTCCGGGGAGAGGGAGCTGAGCCCTGGTCTCCCTGCCCCGCAGGGGCCCCTCGGCGCTCCCCGGGACCTCTCCACCCTGCAGCTCAGGTGAGGCCGCGGCGGGTGCCCAGCGCTCGGCTCCTCAGGCTGGAGCGCTGCCCCCAGCTGGCCCGTGAGCTGCTCTTCTCCCCCCAACCCCCAGGTCTCAGGACCCCGCGTCCCCCTCAGCACCTCAGGAAGCCACAGATGGCAGCACAGTAGCGGAGCCCCTGGGTGAGCCTCGCCCGCCCGCCCCCCTGTCCCCGGGCCTTGCTCACGCCTGGGCCTCGCTGAGCCTGGGTCTCCTGGCTTCTCTCTGCACAGCCCCCTGCCAGGCCTCGGCCAGCTCCGGGGACCTCCAGGCCACCCTCAGAGGGACACGCTCCACGCCCAGCTCCTTGGACAGGTGAGCGGCTGGGGAGGCAGATGGAGCCCGGCGCTTGTGTGGGTCCTGCCCCGAGCTGCTCCAAGGAGCCCCCAGGTCTGCACTGCCGCCTCGGGGCCTCATGGCAGCTGGGGGTGCGCTGCTGCGCCTGCGCCCACATGTGGGGCCACGGAGGAGCGCGAGGGCTCCCAGAAAGGGGCAGGTGGTGCACAGAGCCAGCCTCGAGCTCCTGCTGCCGGGGGTGGTTCCCAGGGGTCTCCAGTGGGGGGACCACCTGGGCTGTGCACCCCTTCCCTCCTCAGGGGTGGGAGGGTGCACAGGGTGTCGGGGGTGGGAGCCCCACTGGTAACCCGCCCTCTACACACAGTGCAACCAGAGACCCTGCTACCTCTGTCCCGGCCCCCACGGCCAGCCAGCCTCCCCAGACCACAGAGGGGGAGAAGAGCCCGGAGCCCTCAGGGCTCCCCCAAAGCCAGAGGTGAGCGTGGTGCGGCCTCCCGGGACAGCCGGGCTCACGTGGGGGAGGCACTGACCTCGCTGCGTCCCTCTCCTCTGACAGTGCCCAGGCCCTTACACCGCCCCCGGTGCCCAGCGGCTCCGCCCCAGGAGGGCCAGCATCCCTGGGCTCCCAGTGAGTGGCAAGGGTTGGCTGGGAAGCAGGTGGGCGGGGGCTGGGGGTGGGGGGGCTGCTGCAGCGGGTGGCGGGGGGGGGGACCCAGCTGGCCGCTCACACGGGTCTCCCTCTTGGTTCCCAGGTAACTGCCTGGTCCTGGTGGCGGCTGAATCCTCCGTACCCCACGTGGACCCGGCCCAAGTGGGGGCAGGGCAGGTCCCACGATGGCCCTGTTGCCCCATCACCTCTTCCTCGCCCCAGTCTGCCCCCACGTTCTCTCCTCTGGACTCCCAGGAGCCTGGTGCCAGGGAGACGGGCCCCTACCCACCCCCATTTGCACTGAGAAAAGAAATTATGGAGTTTTGTCTCCTGGAATAAAGATTGAGTTGATTAGAGAGAAAGGAGAGAGAGAGACCTATATTATATATTATAGAGAGAGTGGGAGGGTGGAGAGCCAGGAGGAGGCCAGGCGGGCAGGACAGCGGGTTGGACCTTCATCCCACCCCGAGGACATTGCCCCCTCCCCCCCACGCCCCCAGTCTCCGGTGCAGATGCCCACACCCACACTCGGCCCAGGGCTGCCTCGGGGGGAGGGCCCGAGTGGGGGCCGTGCCTTTGCCCAGACCCTTGCCCTGGACCCTGCACTTTGACCCGGGCTGGGGGCTAGAGGACCCCCGCCCAGCCCTGCTGCCTCTGTGGGAGTTGGTGGTCCCCGTCCAAGGGGGTCTCTCAGGGGACATTCCCGTGGGGCCCTGATGCGCTCACTGAAACCCCCGCACCTCCTATGGACCCTGCGGCGGGGGGTCGGCAGGGGTCCGGCTGGGGTCCCCTTCCCATGCCCGAGGGTTTGGGGTCCAGCCCAGCTGCCAAGTGACCTTGTCCCAGCTCCCCCTCCCCAGGCTGGCGTGAGTGTGTGTGTGTTCGTGCACAGCTTCTATTTCATATTGCAAATATAAATAAATACAGTTTAAGATTCCCGTGGAGACCTTGAGTTCTGGGCCTCGGGGAGGGGGAGCCCGAGCTGACCTCGCACTGCAGCCTTGGCACCCCAGGTGCGGCCTGCAGCGCGGAGTGCAGTCCGGCTCCTGGACCCCCTTGCTGTGGAGGGGGCGGGTCGCTCGTGCTCAGACCAGGAAGGGGTGCTTAGGGCAGAGCCCCACCCGGCACCGTCTGGACCTGATCTCCACACGCTGTCCTGGGGTCTCTGGGTGTCCCTGCTCCACACAGGTGGCAGGTCAGCGTCGGGCCTTGGCGGCGAGGTGGGGGGGGGAGGGCGACGTGGCTGGGCGACCTTGCAGAAGTGATGTCCCCGAAGCCTCATCCCCTGCGGTGGAGCAGAGGGTGTCCGGGGGGACGGCCAACCAGCCGACCCGGGTGGGCACCCAGTGGTTCAAGCCTCCTGAACCAGAAGTGCGGGAGGGGCGGGTGCACCTCATGGGCATGGGAGCCTCCGTCCCAGTGACTTCCAAAGCTGCAGGCCAGCACAGCAGTGATGACCTTCACAACTCTTGACCTTGACCTTGGTGTTTGCTCCTGCAGGAGTGTGTGAGGAGGAGGCAGGTGTCGAGGCCGTGCAGGGCACAGGGTGGGGGGCTTCAGGGTCCTGAGCGGGAGCTGAGGACCATGTGTGGCAGGGAGGCCAGAGCACAGGAGGGACCCCCGGGCAGCCTTCTGGGGGCCGCTGGGGGGGCAGGTGCAGAGGGAGTTTCCATCCAGGGTGGTCCTGCTGCCCGAGGCCAGGTGATGGGGCCCGCTCGAGTCCCAGGTGCAGGGGAGGGCGTTGGAATCCCGCCCGTCCCCCCTGGGGAGGACGGGAGGGGCACTGACGCCATGCGCCCCCCCCAGCCCCGCCTAGGCCAGGGGCTGAGGAGGAGGCAGCTCTAGTGGGGGAGGACAGGGTGCTGTGGGCTGGAGGGACCCCGGGTCCTGACGGGCACCTTATCAGTGGTGCCAGGCAGGGCCATCCCCAGGGTGGGGGCAGCATCTCCCTGGCCCCTGTTATCAGTCCCAGAGTCCACAGGACGCTCCTCGGGTTAACGTGTAACCACATGCTGTCCCTTCCACCCCCAGAGCCACCCGTGCCCACATACGCACCTCTCTGGGGGGTCATAGGCCAACATGGACGCCTGGGAAGAGGGTCCGTCCCAAAAGCGTTGCTTCTCAGTCCAAGTAAGAGATGCCGGCTGTAGGGGGGAGGGGAGTCTGGCCTGGGCACCGGGGGTGGCCTGAGCAGCCTGGAGGAACTGGGGGGTCCTGGGCCTCCCGGGGAGCTGGGACCCGTGGGGCGGGACGTCCCGGTTCCTGAGCAGCCCCGACAGCGTGGCTGGGTGCCGGGGGCAGGTGGAAGGTGGAAGCCCTCACACCCGAGCCCTTGTGCCCCAAAGCAGCTGCCCCTGTGCCGGGGGCTGAGCCCCTTCGTCCTCACCTGCGCCGTCTACTTCCTCCTCTGGATCCCTCAAGACCAGCCATCCTGGATCAGCGCCCTTGTCAAGTGCCTGCCCGTCCTGTGCCTGGTGGCCTTCCTGCAGGCGGCGCGCTCCGCCCGGGGCTACAGGGCGCTCCTGCAGGCCGCCCTCCTGTGCTCGGCCGCGGGGGACGCCTGCCTCGTCTGGCCGGAGGCCTTCCTCTGCGGTGAGGGCGGGGCCTGAGGAGGAGCTCTCATTCCCCCGAGGGGGGTGCGCGGCGTGGAGGGAAAGGGCTCCGCGTGTTGCAGTCTTGAGTAGCTGGTCAAGGTCAGCCTCACCAAGGTGACGTCTTGAAGAGGGTGCAGGAGCCACCTGAGGAAGGATGGTCCAGAGGGGCCCGCAAGTGCCAAGGCCCCGGGGTGGGAAGGTGCTGGCGAGTCAGAACAGGTGGGCGGCAGGTGGGGCCAGGCGGGGAGCCAGCGGCCGGTCCTGAGCGGAGTGTGGCTGGAAGGCCGTGTGTTTTCTGGTCGCTCTGGGACTCGGGGAGAAGGGAGACGTGCCCCGGGGAGGGGGTCCCGCATCCCGGCAGATAGGGTGCTGCTGCGTCCGGGGCGGGCCTTTCCCTCACGCTCTGCGCTGCACAGCGGCCCACCGGGCACCCCTCCCGTCTCCTGCAGGCGTGGCGGCCTTCACCGGGGCGCACCTGCTCTACCTGTGGGCCTTCGGCCTCCGCCCCCTGCGGCCAGGCCTCCTGCTGCTCGTCGCCCCCGCCCTGCTGCTCTACACGGGCGTCCTGCTGCTGCACCTGCCCCCGGACATGGCCCCCGTGTTGGTGACCTACTCGCTGGTCCTGGCCTCCATGCTGTGGCGCGGCCTGGCCCGTGGCGGGAGCGCCCGCTGGGGGGCCCTGCTCTTCACACTCTCGGATTCGGTGCTGGCCTGGGACGCCTTTGCCCAGTCCCTGCCCCACGCCCGCCTGGTGGTCATGACCACCTACTACGCCGCCCAGCTCCTCATCGCCCTGTCCGCCTTCCAGAGCCCCAGGCCCAAGTCCCACTGACAGGGCGGCGGGGCAGCCACGGGCCCCTCCCCCCGCCAAGGCCCTGGGCCTCCCAGACTGACCGGCCTGGCCAGGGACGCCCCCTGCAGGCTCCTGGACTCCTGTCTGCGGGGGTCCGTCCGGTCCCCCCAGAGGCTCATGAGAATCCACTGTATCACCAAGTGCCTGCCGCCTTCCCTCTGTCCCGACTCTGGATTCCAGACCCTCAACCAGACCCGCCTGCCTCCCACCTGCCCCCATGTCCACCCGCCCCCTTCCCTCTGGCCCTGATCTAGCCTGTGCCCAAGAAGTAAAGTGCTCACTGAAATGGCGCCATCTCCAGTATTTGGGGGGGGCCCTGGGGGAGGGGTGCTCACAGTAACAACAAATGATTCTCTTTTTTTTTTTGGTTAACAATAAAACCATCTTAACCATTTTTTTTTTTAATGTTTTATTTATTTCTAGGAGAGAGAGAGACAGCATGAGCAGGGGAGGGTCAGAGAGAGAGGGAGTGACAGACTCTGAAACAGGCTCCAGGCTCTGAGCTGGCAGTCAGCACAGAGCCCGACGCGGGGCTCGAACCCAAGAACCGCGAGATCATGACCTAAGCGAAAGTCGGATGCTTAACCAACTAAGCCACCCAGGCGCCCCTATCTTAACCATTTTTATTTTATTTTATTTTTTTTAATGTTTTATTTATTTTTAGGAGAGAGAGAGAGACAGCGTGAGCAGGGGAGGGTCAGAGAGAGAGGGAGTGACAGACTCTGAAACAGGCTCCAGGCTCTGAGCTGGCAGGCAGCACAGAGCCCGACGCGGGGCTCGAACCCACGAACTGCGAGATCATGACCTAAGCGAAAGTCGGACGCTTAACCGACTAAGCCACCCAAGCGCCCCTCTTAACCATTTTTAAATGAAGGATTCAGTGACATTAAGTACATTCACAGTGTTGTGCAGTGAACCTTTTTTTTATTTTAATTATCATTCTCGCGGTAGGAACTCTCACTGCGAGGTGGACCCCTCATCACACGTTTTTAGGGTCCAATGTAGTCATGCTGACCACATGCAGGCCTAGTGCCCAGGGCCATGGGATGTGGAGTCCCCGCAGTGTGCCAGGGTCAAAGTGCACCCACCCTTCTGGGAGTTCCAGACAGGTGACACCTGGGCGAGGGGCCTCCGAGGTCAAAGAATGAGATCCCTGAGAGTCACCTCGAAAGCCAGCACTGCCTGAACGGGCCCCTTTGGTTAGGGTTTGGGGTGAATATTGAGAGGGGAGTCACGATCCCACGTGCTAAGCACCATGAAATTATCCCCGCACCCTGAAAACATGCCTATACGCCCGACACGTGTATTATGTTATGTTAATAAAGTGTATGCTCCCTATTGTGCGTTTAGGGACTCTTACAGCAGTGGGGAGACTTCTACATCTACCCTGTGCTCTTAGGGACCCCCGAGCCCATCAGTATTTTAAGCTTTTATTTAAATTCCAATCAGTTAACCTACAAGGTAGTATTAGTTTCAGGTGCTCAGCAGAGTAATGCAACACCTGTGCATCACCTGGCACACATCACAAGTGCGCCCTCTGTTCCCCCTCCCCCACCCCTCCCTTCTGGTGACCGTCAGTGTGTTCTCGTCATATCGTTAGGAGTCGGCTTCTTCATTTGTGTTTCTTTTCACCCCTTTGCTCATTTGTTTTGTATCTTTTTTTTTTTTTAAATATTTATTTTTGAGAGAGAGAGCGTGAGCAGGGGAGGGGCAGAGAGAGAAGGAGACACAGAATCTGAAATAGGCTCCAGGCTCTGAGCTGTCAGCACAGAGCCCGTTGCAGGGTTGGACTTAACGAACCGTGAGATTGTGACCTGAGCTGAAGTCGGACGCTTAATCGACTGAGCCCCCCAGGCTCCCCTGTATCTTAAATTCCACGTATGAGTGATATATGTCTTCTCTGGCTTATTTAGCTTTAGCACAATACACTCCAGTTCCAACCACGTCCTTGCAAATGGCAAGATTTCACTCTTTGTCATCGCCAATATTCCATCGTATAAATACACCACGTCTTCTTGATCCATTCATCCATAGATGGACATTTGGGCTCTCTCCATACTTAGGCTATTGTCGATGGCGTTGCTATAAACATTGAGGTGCCTGTGTCCCTTTCAACTGGCATTTTTGTGTTCTCTGGGCCCAGTCCTGTTTTTCAAATCTGCCCCATCTTCAGGCCAGGATCCCCACTCACCACATCGGAAGACTCTGGGCCACAAAAGGCACGGGCTGTGGCGCAGCCCCAGGCAGGGGTGAGTGATGGGGGGGCGGGCTGTGCCCTGCTCTTCACAACCTCAGAGGCTACGTGGGCCTGCGGGGCCTCAGTTAGGCCCTTGCCTCACGCCCCCCTGGGGGCCACAGCCACACTGCCCATGTCCTGGGTGCTCCGTCAGCCATCAAGGGCAGGGGGTAAAGAGAAGACCTCTCTCTGCTCCCCATGACAGTGCCCCTGTGGAAAGGGCTAAGGAGGGAAATGACCACCTCCATCTGTCTGAAGAGTGTCTTCAAACTTTTTTTAAGTGCTTATTTTGAGGAGAAAGAGAGAGAGGAAGGGAGGGAGGGAGTGGGGCAGAGAGAGAGAGAGAGAGAGAGAGAGAGAGAATCCCAAGCAGTCTCCGTGCTGTCAGCACAGAGCCCAACACAGGGCTCGAACTCATGAACTGTGTGTAGATCTTGTTCTGAGCCAAGATCAAGAGAGTAGGACCCCCAGGGCGCCTGGGTGGCTCAGTCAGTTAAGCATCCAGCTTGGCTCAGGTCATGATTTCACGGTTCGGTTTGTGGGTTCAAGTCCCATGCCGGGCCTCCTATCTGTGCTGACAGCTCAGAGCCTGGAGCCTGTTTCAGATTCTGTGTCTCCCTCTCTCTCTGACCCTCCCCTGCTCACACTGTCTCTCTCTCTCAAAAATATTAATAAAACATTAAAAAATAAATATTTAAAAATTTTTTTTAAAAAGAAATTACTTTTTCCTCCATGTTGTATTTTTTTTTTTGAGAGAGAGGGGGAGAGAGAGTCCCAAGCAGGCTCCAAGTCGTCAGCACAGAGCCCGACACAGAGCTGGAAGTCATGAACGGTGAGATCATGACCTGAGCCGAAATCAAGAGGTGGATGCTTAACCAGCTGAGCACCCCCAGGCACTCCAGTTTCCTGCTTTCCATATTATAGTACATGTGTGTAAATGTTACCACCGGGTAAAGTGGAACAAAGCTCACACGGGACCTCTTGTACTATTTTTCACAACTTCCTAGGAGTCTCTAATCATTTCAAAATAAAGTGTTTAAAAAAATTTAGAACTTTGTTCATCAACAAAACAAAACAAAACAAAACAAAACACCCCACCAAAGATATTTTCCTTCCTTCTTCTTCTTCCTCTCCCTCTTCCTTCCCTTTTGAGACGTTTCAGTCCTGAAGCCATTTGGCGGGACTGAGCAGTGCAGGCGTCCACGGTGGTGGCTCATCATGGGGGTCAGAGTTCAGGCAGGGTGAGGGGGGTGCTCACAGGGTGGGCAACTTCCTGTGCAGAGTCAGAGACATTGAGCGGGGCCCAGGGGCCTCTGCAGAGGTGAGGAGTTGGTGGCAGAAAGGGGAACAGGTCACATACAGTAGGTTGCTCCGTTAAGTACACGCGAGCTAGTCCTACGCTATGAGAGAGAGGAGTTAATAATACAGAGACAAAAAGCGAATGAGCCACACGTGAAAAGATGCTCACCATCACTGGTCATTAAGGAAATGCAAATCAAGACCATGAGATACCACCTCACGCCCATTAGGATGGTGACCATCAAAGAAGAAACTCAGAAGTGCTGGTGAGGATTGGAGAAACGGAGGCCCCCGGGTGCCGTCGGTGTGAATGTAGAATGGTTCAGCCGTGGAACACAGCATGGCGTTCCTAAAATAATTAAATGCAGAATCACCATACGATCGAGCAATCCCACTTCTGGATACATACCTGAGATAATTCAAAGCGGGGTCTCGAAAGGATATTTGCACACCCAGATTCAAAGTGGTGTTATTCACAATATCCGAGAGGCGAGAGCAGCCCAAGTGTCCGTCAACGCGTGAATGAATAAGCAAAATGTGGAGTATTCTGTGTACATCCACATGGTTGGTGATGAGTTGTCCCTAAACCTAATGGATGACCCCTCACTCCTCCACCCACGCTTTTGACAGAAGAGCTTGGGTCACCATGCCCTTGAGCCTCCTGGGGGTTCCTTCTGCAGGCTCATGGGGGTTCCTTGCAGAACTGAAGGGCACTGTGCTTTCTGGGGTTTGTGGATGAGCTTGGGGTGGATGAAGGAGCCAGGAACTGTCTGATGTCTTGCTCCTAACAGGCCTAAGTCCCCACTTTGCAGCTTCCATCCCGGTCAGAAGCTTAAGAGTGGAGGCTCAGACTCCAGCTCCGTCACCGAGAAGGGAGGTCCCTGAGGGTCCAGGCTCAGATGTACCTGCACAAGACCAGTTGTGTAAGGAGAGCATCCCAAGTGGTACTCACTGCACCTCCAGAGACCTGGAATGTTGTGGGTGCACTTGAACCCAGACTGTGTATGAATTCTTCGTGTGGGTGGAACAGGACAGAGTGAGCAGGTCCAGGGAGACCCTCTGCATGTCTACAGGTGACAAATGACCCTCCCTAGGGATGACCCTGCCAAAGAGAAAAACAAAGCTCATTGCATTTGTTGCCTGGGCTGGCACAAGAAAACCACCAACTGAGGGCTTCAAGCAACAGTTCTGGAAGCTGGAATTCTGAAATCAAGGTGTTGATCACCTCTCTTTGGAGCCTCGAGAATCTTTTTTTTCCTCTTCTAGCTTCTGGAGATTTGCTGATGATCTTTGCTGTTCCTGGGTTTGAAGACACATCACGCGGATCTCCGCCTCCAGCTTCCCATGGCATCCTTCCTGTTTGTGTCCAAATGTCTCTCTCCTTCTGAGGACACCAGTCATCGGATTTAGGGCTCACTGTAATCCATGTGAGCTCATCTTACCCTGGTTACATCTGCGAAGACGCTATTTCCAAAAAGGTCCCGTTCACAGGCACCGGGGACCTTTGTGTCACAACACAATTCAGCCCGCAACAGTCACTGAGTTGAGGATTAGCAAAGACCCCTCCCAGATTTGAGGCGAGAGTAGGAGGTGGTAAAGACGGTGCTCCAGTGGAGCACTGTGGGAGCCGACACTCCCATGGCCTCGTTGAGACTCACGGGCGGTGCGTCCACAGGTGACATGTGGTCATCTGGCTCCCATGAAGAGAACAGGAAATGATGCCCATGGGCCTCCTGACTCACAGATCAGGGGTGGGGAGCCCCAGACTGACATTCCCTCCCAGGCTTCTAGCTTCTGGGCCCTAGTTCTAGAGAACAACGTCCTTAGCAACCAGGTCTGTCCAGATGTGGTGCAGGTACTCAGCGATTTGGAAATGCTGACCATGTCCCCTCTGTTAGTGCCCAATCCAGTGACAAACCAGGGGATGCAGGGCCACTCCATGAACTCTGCCATCCCGATCTGGACAGCTCCTCTGGGCCCTGACCATCCGCCTTACACCTGCAGGATCCGGTGGTGTGAGCCAGGTTTCATCAGTGAGGTCCTGAACACCTCAGGGACATGGGTCATGGTGGGGGCTGGAAAGAGGGCCTGGTACACCTTCACCGTCCGGTGAGAAGGAGTGGAGTCAGCAGTGATACCCACGTCAGGATTTGGCACTTGTGGGCTTGTAGGAAGGCGCTGCTCTGGGCCTCATTCCGAGGAACTGGACAGTTCATTTGAGCTCAAGGGATGGAGCCCTGTTGCTAGGGAGTGTCTCTCCTTAGCAACAGGGATGGGCAATCACCACGTATTCCTGATCTACCTCTGAGAGTCAGAGCTTTAGAAGACAAGAAATACCCTAAAGTATCCACATCCAAGTTCCTGGTCCAGACACAGCCAGCTCTGAACTGTGGCCTCACCCCAAAGACTCCACTCGCCCTCTGCCTACTGGGTCCCCTGGGCTAGGAGGATGTGACAGGTGGGAGACCCAACCTCAAGGGCACTCACTGGAGGAAGGGGGTCTGGGAGGCTGAGACACATACCCCTTCACCAAGTGAGGATGCCTACAGGTGCTTTGGGGCAGAGAGCGGGTGTGGGGACATTCCCAGGACCCTCCTCACTTCCCTGCTCCCAACACGGTCACGGATTTGCACAAGGAAACTGTGGTGAAAGGTCCCCACAGACCCCCAGTCTCATCTCTACATGTATTCGGTCCAGTGGGCCCCTGGGGGACATCCCCAGGGACAGCAAGACCTGGGGACATCAGGCCAACCACACAGGCAGGACCAGTGACGGTTGCTATGAGGTGCAGGCCCTGGAGCCCGGGACTCTGCACACCTGTGGGCAGACAGGAACAATGTGACCAGTTATGCACAGAGCCTCCTCGCATCCTCAGGTGAGATGGGTCCCCTTCTTCCTGGTGGGAGTTGAGGTTTGTCCTTGGGTCAATGGGAGGGGAGTGGACTCCAAATCCCATCAGGCCATGGGGTCATGCCTTGCTAAGCTTCAGTGATACAGAGAGTCCAAGGGCTCATGGGAACTGTAGTCTGAAGGGATCTGTTGCATGTCCATTTGGGAAGGACAGAAAATGAAAGCTAGAGAGGTATTTTGATTTTGGAAAGAAGAAGATGGGCTAGACCTCCAGGATCTCAGATCATTCGCTCTGGAGGAGGTCACAAGGTGGTTGGTGGTAGGAATGAACAGAATCAGTAAGCCAACAAAAATACCCTGAAAACCTCTTCTGGACACTGGAGGTCTTAGGGATGACCCAAAAATAGGGGCGCCTGGGTGGCTCAGTTGGTTAAGGGTCCAACTCCATCTTGGCTCAGGTCATGATCTCACAGTTTGTGGGCTTGGGCCCCACGGCAGGCTCTGCACTGACAGTATGGAGCCTACTTGGGATTCTCTCTCTCTCCCCTCTCCGTCTCTGCCCCTTCCCTGCTCACACACACTCCCTCACAATAAATAAATAAACAAACATCACAAATAAATAAATGTGGCTATGATTTATTAGGTATTTTAAAAGGGCCGGCCATCGTTCTGAGATTTTACACGTACGAAGACATTTCTTATCCACAGTATGTTGATAAGTGGACGTATCTCCTTTTTTACCGCTGGGGAATCTGAGTCACTGTGAGTTTAAGCCACTTGGTCAAGGTTACAGGTAGAACAGGGTGGGTGAGACAAATATGCAAATACTAACAGTTTGGCGTCTTGTGGCAGAAAGAGCACAGGGTTGGAAGGCGTGGGACCCAGTGTGGTCCTACTCTGACTGCGTCCCAAGGGAGGGGGAGGAGGGAGATTGTGGGAGGACAGGAGGAGGGTGCACCTGGTGGGGGAGGGGTGGCTCATATGCAAAGTCTGGTGATGGGGTGATAATGGACGGGGCTCATACTGTGAGGGCTGCCGCGCTGCGGGGGCAGGGAGGTGACGGGGCCTGAGTCGGTGGGCAGAGCCCATGCATGGCAGGACAGGGGATTAGACCCAGCCTGGTCTGTCCCCGTGAGACATGGAGCCGGAGCTGTCTCTTTCCCAGGGCTGGCACGGCCCGACCATCCAGGACCTGCTCTGTGCATTCACGGCGGCAGCCGGGGGGAAGAGCCCCTTATCCAGGCGATCTCGGTGGGGTAGCGTGAGGGGAGGCAGAGGCCAGAGGGGAGACCCCATGGCCAGGGAGGGGGTGCAAGAGCTCAGGAGCGTGCAGAGGTGAGCGTGCAGAGGTGAGGACCAGGGCTGACGGGTGGGGCGGGGCTGGGAGCCTCCACTTCCTCCTCCTCCCTTCCCACCCTGGCCTGTGGCCTCACAGCTAAAGGGGAAATCCTTGCGTTTAAAGTCCAGCAGGTGGAAAGTCAGGGCTGGGACGCCTGGGTCCCTCTGCAGTGTCTGGAGACATGATGGGGACCTGAGGGGGCCTCGGGGCCTGGAGGAGCCTGGTGCTGCTGGTGAGTGTTCCCAGACGGGGCCGGGCCGCTGGGGTCCTGAGGGAGTAGGGGCTGATGGAGTCCTGGAGAAGGAAGCAGGCTTCTGGGTTGTCAGGGAGCCTCACACCTGGGCTCACAGATACTGCTGTCCTCTGTGAGAGTGAGCTCTGGTTTCTCACAAGAGTCAGGTGTGTTCACAAAGACCCTGGAGTACAGGCCCCAGCCCCTCCTCCCTCAGACCCAGGAGTCCAGGCCCCCAGCCCCTCCTCCCTCAGACCCAGGGGTCCTGACCCCCGGCCCCTCCTCCCTCAGACCCAGGAGTCCTGGCCCCCGGGCCCTCCTCCCTCAGACTAGGTGTCTGGCTCCTGGTCCCCAACCTCAGTATCTTCCCCCATTACCACTTTTTTGATTAATTACAAAGCCATACTTTCCCGACCGTGTCACCACTCTCTCCTGGCCTTATCAGTGGAGCCCCGCCCCTGCCACACGGCCCCCCCAGCACATACACACCCAACAGAGATAGATGGACTTACAGTGACCTTTGTTAGAGCAGCGCCTTGGGGAGGAGACAACTCACAGTGTCCCTCCTCTCCCTCAGGCCCCAGTGACTCCCAGGGTAGGGCAGAGGAAGAGGGTCCCTGGCCAGCCCCCCGCCAGCCCCGCATTCCCCCGTGGGCCAAGGGAGATGAAGCCCAGAGTCTGACTCTCCCCTCTGTGTTCTCCCCAGAGCCTGTGCAGCTGGACAGGGGCCAGGGCGGCTGGTGAGTGAGCCCCGCTGTCGGCGGAGAGCTTGCGCGGAGCCGCTGTGAGCTCTGGGGAGGCGGTCTCACGGAGGGCTCGGTGACACACGGCCCGCACTCCTGGAAGGGGTCCTTTCTGGCCTCAGGCAAGAGTTGGGGGTCGGGGAAGGTGCAGTGCGGACCTTCTCTGCTCACACCCTGCTTCCTTATTCTCAGCCCCCAGCCCCGGCAGGGACGCGAATGCGGAGGCCCAGAGCCCCGGCCCCATCACCCTGCGGCAGCAGGTGCCCTCCGGCCTCGAGGGGGGACACTACACCCCCTGGGGCCTGCGGCCAGGACAGGATGGCAGAGCTGAGGCCTGGCGCCTGGCCGACGCCAGTGTCATGGAGGACAGCCCCAGGCCGGGGTCTCTGCGTGATTTCTCCACGTGGGCGCCGCAGGATGCGACCAGCAGCTCCCAGGGGACCCTCCAGAACAGCACAGGTGAGAGGCAGCCACGCTCCGCACGCCTTCTTTTTCTAAAATGTGGCCGGCAGCGATGAGAACGTGGCACGTTCTGTTGTCCAAGAGAAATCGAATGGAAGCTGAATGTGTAAATTTAGGTTTTCTATCAACCAATTTAATGTTTGTTTATTTATTTATTGAAAGAGAGAGAAAGAGAGAGAGATGGAGCATGAGCGGGGGAGGGTGAGAGAGAGGAAGACTCAGAATCTGAAGCAGCTCCAGGCTCCGAGCTGTCAGCACAGAGCCCGACGCAGGGCTCGAACCCACAAACTGAACCATGAGATGGTGACCTGAGCCGCAGCCGGACACTTAACAGACCAAGCCAGCAGGCGCCCCAATGTCAACCAGTTTAAAAACAAGTAAAAAGAGGGATGTCTGGCTGGCTCAGTCTGTGGAGCGTGCGACTCTTGATTTTGGGTTTGTAGGTTTGAGCCCCACATGGGATGTAGAGGTTACTTTAAAAAAATAATAAAATCTTAAAAGTAGTCAAATGAAACATGTGATATTAATTATAAAGTGAGAGTTTACTTACCTCCATAGATCCAAAATATTATCATTTTTTAAGTTTATTTATTTTGAGAGAGAGAGAGAGAGAGAATCCCAAGCAAGGTCCTCTCTGTCAGCATAGAGACCGACTGACACGAGGCTTGAATCCACAAACCGTAGGATCATGACCTGAGCCAAAACCAAGACTCAGACCATTAACTAATGGAGCCCCCCAGGCGCCCTTCATCCATTTTTGAAAGTAGGCTCCACGCCCAACCTGGGGCTTGAACCCACACCCCCAGGATCAAGAGTCGCATGTTCTGCTGACTGAGCCAGCCAGGTGCCCCCCAAATATTAACATTTGGACACGCAGTCGACATAGAAAGGGACCAGAAGATCCTTTACATACTTAACCTCATACCCGCTCCTGGGAGCACAGTGCGTGTCTGAGCACATTGTTGCAACGGTGCTCAGGAGCCACGCGAGCTTGTGGGGTCCCCACCCCACTCTGCACGGTGCCAGCTTTCAGCCCCCTAACCCTGTGGGAAAGGTGAGGGGAGGACTAGGAGGTCTATCATCCTACACTGGGAGGTCCCAACCCCAACCCTCAGAGGTGCACCTAGTGACAGGGTCCAGGGGCTTGGAGACACCGACAGATTTGAGACCCAAGACAGTATAGTCACCAGTTGCAAAGTGGGGGTGGGGTAAGACTTAGTCACTGTCCTCATGTGAATTTTCTGTTTGGGCAGACAACACAGTGCTCCTGGCTTCAGGAAAACCCTCGAAGGTTCCTCAGGTCCCACCTCCTGTTTCCTTCACTTTTGTTCAGCTGGGGGAGGGGGATTGGAATTGGTTGAGAATCCACAGGAGATGGTGCAGGCAAATCTGGCCTCCCTCTGCGCACTATGAGATGTGGGCACTCTGACCCTCTGACTCTTCTCCGGGTTCTCAACCGTGTTATAGTCTTGAGGATGGAAGCCCAGATCACCAGCTCCATCACTCTGATGTGGACAGTTGCCCCCCTCTAAGCTGCACTGGCCAATATGGTAGCCTCGTCCCTGTCCCCCGTCATGTGTGGCTACTTATAATAGTTCATTAGAAGGGAAGATTCAATCTCACATTTTAGGTGCTCAAGACCTCAAATGAGGGCATCCCGGTCCCCCTTAGTATCCCACGGGGACACTGCCTCTCATACTGGGCCCTGGGAGAGCATTTCCGTCTTTGCAGAAATTCTGTTGGAAAGTGCCGGGCTAGACCCTTGCTACTCAAAACATGGTCCACGGCTGGGCAGCACCAGCGTGCGCCGAGAACCGGCTGGACATGCAGAGTCTGGGACTCATCTCAGACCGACGGAATGAGAGCCCGAATCTTAACAAGATCCCCACTCTTACATACAGGCACTGATGTTTGAGAAGCGCTGGTCTAGACCACACAGCCTGCCTCTCCTGGGACCAGCAGTTGAGGCAGGACTGGGGACTTTGAGGGCTAAAATGTCCACTGACTGTTCCCCCGATCTGCTCCCTCGCTGACACCGGACCCCTCTCCCTAATTTCTCAGACCCCAATCCCGTCAGGAACCTGAGGGTACAGGCTCAGACCACCACCTCCATCACCCTGGTCTGGGAGACGCCAGATGACCCTGACTTCCAGAACTACACCTACTGGATCCGGTGGACTGGGGCTGATAGCAAAACTGAGACCCAGAGCACAAGCAGCACCAGCTTCACGGCGGACGGACTGCGACCCGGGTCCTTGTATGAATTTGCTGTGTGGGCAGAGAAACATGGAGCCAACAGCACCGTGACGACTTGCGAGGCCACCACAGGTGAGAGCGCCCTGTTGCTTACTTTCTGTCTCTCTCCCCTTCCTAAGGAATGTTCATTTACAGTTGAGGGAGCATGGGCAAGGGAGGAGCAGAGAGCAAAGGGACAGAAGATCCGAAGCAGGTTCCGCACTGACAGCATGGAGCCCGATGCAGGGCTCACCCTCACGAACTGTTAGATCACGACTTCAGCCCAAGTCGGACACTCCACCAAGCGAGCCACCCAGGTGCCCCATCTCTCTCTCTCTCTCTCTCTCTCTCTCTCTCTCTCTCTCAATGATTGGTGATGGGCGGTGGTGAAGAAGTGACAGGGCAACAGAGCAAACTCTCTAGCCCACCATCTCTTTGGGTCGCGTGGAGCAGGAGACGAAGAAAGAACATCACATGCTCTGAGCTGGGATCAGTCAGGATCGTGGACCCTCTAGAACACAGATCTTAAGACTAGGGGTGTCTCTCCTTAGCAACCAGGACTGTGTAGGGAGCATAGGCGTGTTGCTTCAACTGTGAGGACCTTAGGTACGATGCAAGGTGGACACTCTGACCCTCAGACTCTTCTCCGGGTTCTCAACCGTGTTATAGTCTTGAGGATGGAAGCCCAGATCACCAGCTCCATCACCCTGACGTGGACAGTTGCCCCCCTCTAAGCTCCACTGGCCCATATGGTAGCCTCGTCCCTGTCCCTCGTCATGTGTGGCTACTTAAAATTCAGTTCACTAGAAGGGACATTTCAGTCTCACAGTTTAGATGCTCACAATCCCAGATGAGGGCATCCCGGTCCCCCTCAGTATCCCACGGGGACACTGCCTCTCATACTGGGCCCTGGGAGAGCATTTCCGTCTTTGCAGAAATTCTGTTGGAAAGTGCCGGGCTAGACCCTTGCTACTCAAAACATGGTCCACGGCTGGGCAGCACCAGCGTGCGCCGAGAACCGGCTGGACATGCAGAGTCTGGGTCTCATCTCAGACCAACGGAATGAGAGCCCAAATCTTTTTTTTTTTATGTTTTATTTATTTTTGAGAGAGAGAGAGACAGTGTGAGCAGGGGAGGGTCAGAGAGAGAGAGAGATACAGAATCTTAAATAGGCTCCAGGCTCTGAGCTAGCTGTCAGCAGAGCCCGACGTGGGGATCAAACCCACGAACCATGAGATCATGACCTGAGTCAAAGTCGGCCGCTTAACCAGCTGAGCCACTCAGGCGCCCCGAGAGCCCGAATCTTAACAAGATCCCCACTCTTACATACAGGCACTGAAGTTTGAGAAGCGCTGGTCTAGACCACACAGCCTGCCTCTCCTGGGACCAGCAGTTGAGGCAGGACTGGGGACTTTGAGGGCTAAAATGTCCACTGACTGTCCCCCGATCTGCTCCCTCGCTGACACCGGACCCCTCTCCCTAATTTCTCAGACCCCAATCCCGTCAGGAACCTGAGGGTACAGGCTCAGACCACCACCTCCATCACCCTGGTCTGGGAGACGCCAGATGACCCTGACTTCCAGAACTACACCTACTGGATCCGGTGGACTGGGGCTGATAGCAAAACTGGGACCCAGAGCACAAGCAGCACCAGCTTCACGGCGGACGGACTGCGACCCGGGTCCTTGTATGAATTTGCTGTGTGGGCAGAGAAACATGGAGCCAACAGCACCGTGACGACTTGTGAGGCCACCACAGGTGACAAGCTGCTGCTACTTGTTTTGTTTATCTTTTTTTTTTAAAGGTTGGTGATTGGCGGTGGTGGAGAACTGACCAGACAGCTGAGCAAACTCTCTAGCCCCCCATCTCTTTGGGTCGCGTGGAGCAGGAGATGAAGAAAGCACTTCACAAGTTCTGAGCGGGGATCAGTCAGGATGGAGGACTCTCTAGAATAAAGACCTTAAGACTAGGGATGTCTCTCCTTGCAACCTGTGTAGGGAGCACAGGCGTGTTACCTCAGCTGTAGGGGCATTAGGTACTGTGGAATGTGGACACTCTGTCTCTGTGACCTTTCTCCTGGCTCCCAACTGTATCATGATCTTGAGGATGGAACCTCAGGCCAACTGCTCCATCACTCTGATTGGGAGGTGCCCCCTGGGCCCTGGCCTTTGGGATGACACTTATTGGGTCCAGCAAACTGGACGGGAGGACAGAATTGAGACCCAACATTTAGCCAAAACTTCAGTTTCATGGTAGAGGGACAGAAAGCTGGGACCCTGTACACATTTTCTGTGTGAGCAGAAAAGAATGAATTCTGTGCTGCTCCAGAAAAGAACCCCAGCATTTCCGCAGATGACTAGCATCAATGCCTACTCTCTGTTTCGGTGAGAGGTTTTAAGAACCAGCAAAAATGGCACCTCCTTTGAGTTCTGGGATCCAGCCACCATCTTTATGATCTCACTGAGCCGAATCCAAAACCTAAGTCCACAGGAGAGACGTGGCCTTTCCTGGCAACACGCCTGTCTAGGAGCCTGTTGCTGAGCACAGAGATGCAGGCGTCCAGACCCTCCCCCCTCACTGCCCACCCAGGTTCCAACTCCAGGAAGTGCTCCTTAACAAGTCTGGCTGCAGAAGAAGGAGGTGCATCATCGTCTTCTGGATTCTTGTGGACCAGGGATAGGATATTCTGACTCTTTTTTCCTTCTGCCAGTCCCCAATGCAGTGACGAGTCTCAGTGTGCAGAAGCAGACCAACAGCTCCATCACCTTGAGCTGGACAGCTCCCATGGGCCCAGATCATTCTCCCTACACCTACGGGGTCTCCTGGGTCAGGGAGGGTACCAGTGCCATCACCACCCAGGACACCCCAGATACTGGGATCGTACTGAAAGAACTGGAAGCTGGGACTTTGTACACCATCACCGTCTGGGCAGAGAGGAATAAGGTCAGAAGTGACCCCAGGACTGTCAGTGGAGCCACTGGTGAGACTCAGACGGGTTCTAGACTGAACCGGTACTGTTGGGATGGGGGAAGGGGAAGGTTGGGGAGAATTTGGTGACCCTATGTAGCCTCATTGGACCTTGAGATTGTAAGTCTGCCTTCTAGGAAGTCTGTCCTCGGCAGTCATGGCTTTCCAATTACGAGGTCTGTCTTTGGGGATGCAGAGAGTCCCTGACCATCCAGGACCACCCCTCAGGAACCCAACAAAGCCGGAAGACAGAAGGGCACAACTCATCCCAGTATACTAGCTGATCCCCAAGCAGCCCACCTCTCACCCTACACAGGAAGGGTCCCAAGCATGACAGGAACCAAAATTACCCCAGGAACTAGGTTCACTGTGGGCGCATGGAGCCTGGAACTGTTTAGTTTTTGTCCATTTTGGCTAAGAAGACTAAAGTCAACAGCTCCGTCTAGAAAGAAGTGTCTGGAAGTAGGGAAGTTCCCTGCCTCCATCTGCTCACCTTAGAAAGGTGATGTTTGGGACCCAGGGGTATAGACTCAGGATAGAGGGGCCCCATGTGACTCTTGTCCCCACCTGGCCTCTTTTCTGCGGTTCTCACTTCTCAGGAAGTGGACTCTCTGGTGACTGAGGCACTGGGGAGGTGAGCAGCCTCAGGCGCGAGGGCTCTTGAGGACACGCCCGCCCCCTTGAGCTTTTCTCATCTTCTCAGCTCCCAACATGGTCACAGATCTGCACAAGGAAACCCAGACGAACAGCTCAATCACCCTGCGGTGGAAGGTCCCCACAGACCCCCAGTCTCAGCTCTACACATACGGAGTCCATTGGGCCCCTGGGGGACATCTCCAGGGACAGCAAGACCCTCAGGGATATCAGGCCAACCACACAGGCAGGACCAACGACAGTTGCTATGAGGTGCAGGCCCTGGAGCCCGGGACTCTGTACGCCTTCAGCGTGTGGGCAGACAGGAACAATGTGACCAGTTATGCACAGAGCCTCCTCGCATCCACAGGTGAGATGGGTCCCCTTCTACCTGGTGGGAGCTGAGGTCAGACCTGGGGACAATGGGAGGGGAGTGGACTCCAAATCCCATCAGGCCATGGGGTCATGCCTTGCTAAGCTGCAGGGATAGAGTCCAAGGGCTCATGGGAGTTGTAGTCTGAAGGGATCTGTTGCATGTCCATTTAGAGAGGACAGAAAATGAGAACTGAAGAGGTATTTTGGTTTTGGGAGGAAAGGTTGGGCTAGTTCTCAGAGAACTGGCACCACTGGTGCGAAGTGGGGGTGGGGTAAGGGATGGAAAGCCACCCTGTATGGCTCCTACTGACTCCTCCTGTCCTCTCCACCCAGCCCCGAACCCGGTCACCATCACATCCTGCGTCAGCACCTCTGGGGGCCACGGGGTCATCTTGACCTGGTCCTGCCCCGTGGGAGGTTACGAGGCCTTTGAGTTGCAGGTGGGTGGACAGCGGGACTCCCAGAATGGATCTTCCTGTGGGAGGGGCGTGTCCGTGTGGGATCTCCAGCCAGCTCAGTCCTACCCCGCCACCGTCACAACCGTCTGGGATGGAATGAGGGCCCCGTCTGTCCCTGTGACCTGCTACACGGAGAACGCAGGTGAGCAGATCCCCACCAAGACAGAGCTTCGCTGAAAGCCTCTCTAGATCACATCAGACTCCGTTATGAGGGGGTCTTACTTACACAAGGGATACTTTGTGTTTCCCGTTTGCTTTGTTTTCTGCTTTCTTTAAAACAGCTTTATTGAGATATAATTCACATATCCTACAATTCACCCACTTAAGGTGTATGACTAATGGCTTCAGTACATCCACAGCACAATGCCAACCCATTACTCTTACAATATTTTCATTACTCACCTTCCTATACCATCAGCCCCTATTCTCCTCACTGTCCCACCAACCTGGCATAGGTAATCTCAAATTTATCTCCCGTCTCTACAGATTTGCTTGCTTTTGACATCTCCAAAAACTATCATCATCCTTCTGTGATGTCTATCATCAGTCTTCTGTGGCTGGCTCCTCTCACTTGGTGACCCTTTTCTAAGGTTCATCAATGTAGCATGTATCAGTGCTTCATTTCTTTTTATTGTTAAATAATATCCCACTGTATGGAGAGACCACATTTTGTTTATCTGTTAGTCTGTGGATGCATTTGGGTGGTTTCTACTTTTTGGCTATTATGAGTAGTGGTGCTATGAACATTCATGCACCATTTCTGTGCAGAAAGGAACTTTATTTCTCTTGGGTATATCCCCAGGAGTGGAGTTGTGGGATCAGATGGTTAACTCTGTGTTTATCTTTTGGAGAACTGCCAAAACTTTTTCCCCAACATGAATGCACCATTTTCCACCCATCAGTGGCGAATTTGGGAGAAGTACGAGCCTCATAATTTAAAAAACTCTGATCATATACCTTTGATCATGGCCATAAGTTTCACTGGGCTCCATCTGTCACTTTCTGTGAATCAGGACCTCTATAAGATTGGGTCTCTGGGGGCGCCTGGGTGGCTCAGTCGGTTAATCGTCCGACTGCAGCTTAGGTCATGATCTCATGGTTCGTGGGTTCGAGCCCCGCGTCGGGGTCTGTGCTGACAGCTCAGAGCCTGGAGCTTGTCTTCGGATTCTGTGTCTCCCTCTCTCTCTGACCCTCCCCTGTTCACGCTGTCTCTCTCCTCTCTCTCTCTCTCTCAGAAATAAACAAAACATTAAAAAAATGTTAAAAAAATAAAAGATTGGGTCTCTGGTCTGGAGAGAGATGGCAGGTTGGGGCAATGATAGATGGATGCCACTCCCAACTGGGCTTCCTTGCTACTGCACAGGAAAGTCTTTTATGCTTAGCAGAGAGGGTCCCTGTGAGGAAAGATGCCCTTGTCCAATTCAGTGGGACCAGGTCAGTCAGGGGAATGGGCCTCCTCACCAGGCTGTGTAAGACCCTTCTAGAGCCTGTTGACAGATCCTTGCAACCAGGATTGTTGGAAAGCTGCTTCCTGGGGCCACGGCAGCTAATGGAGGAGGCTGTGGGCTGGTGTCTGCCCCAAGATCAGCTGTCTAAGGACACACCCTGGGGGTCTGTGCCCATTAGAGCCTGGGGCCAGGACCTTAGGCACCACCACGGCAGGGGCGCCCTTCCGTTAGCAAATAGAACCTCTGAGAACATAAGCCTTCATTCTGGGGAGAAACATCAATGCCGTCAATGCCAGACTGTGGTTTCTCAACCTTGACGCTATTGGCTTTTGGGGATCGGTCAGTCTTTGCTGTGGGGGCTGTCCTGTACTTTGTAGGATATTGAGCAGTACCCCGGCCCCTACCTGCTGGATGCCAGTGCACCACCACTCCCATGGTGACAACCCAAAGTGTCCCCAGACACTGGTGACAAAATCGCCCGCGCCGAGAATCATTAATCCAGGCCACGGAGGGGAGGAGTCTCTGGCAGCCAGGTTACCTGAGCAGATGATGTCTTTGGACCAGGCTCCTGGGGAAAGCTGGGTGGGAGGTGGGGCTCCATCCAGAGGCTTTCCCCCCTCCTTTCTCTGCCCTCGCATCTGCCCCATCGGCACTCTGTCACAGTCTGGGTGAGGACAGAGGTAGGAGAGACAGGTCGCCAGCGGATGAGGCGGACTCCAATGGTGCCCACGCTTCCTATCCCAGGGGTCATTGCTGGAGCCATTGTCGGTGTGGTCCTGTTCCTCATCCTGGTGGGGCTGCTGGTTTTCTTCCTGAAGAAGAGGTAGGAGTCCTCACAGGGCTGACTGACCATCTGGGGGTGAGGGTGGGGGTGCAGGGAGAGGGTGAGGACCCCTGGATCCAGCCTGACTCCCTGCGTCTTCCATTCCCATGTCTCTTTCCCAGGCACAGGAAGAGACAGAGGAAGCCAGCACCCAGGGGTCTGGGCTCCAGGTAAGCAGAAGGTGTTGGGAGAGCATCTGGAAAAATCATTCTCAGGTCACATCAAGGCGTGTTTTCTGGTCACTGGATAGGTCAGAGGGTGGGCTCAGTGAACCCACCCACACAATGACCTCTGCCCCACGGATCACAAGCCTTTCATCGCCCCCTCCAGCCTGGGCAGGGGCTCTGGAAGCAGCTCCAGCTCTGGGGCTACTTGCATCCAACAACATATTCACTCAGCACCTGCATAATCTGTCAGGCACTGTTCTAGGTGCAGAGCGCACAGTGGGGTAACAGACTCCTGCCTTCATGGCGTTGCGTTCAAGCACAAGAAGTCGTTAATAAACAAGATAATAGAGATTGTGATACAATAGGCAGTAGAGCAAGAAGTGGGAATAGAAAAGGTAGAAGGATATTTTGTTATTTTTCCTTTTTGAGAGAGAGAGAGAGAGAGAGAGAATCCTAAGCAGGTTTCATGCCCAGCACAGAGCTCAGTGTGGGGCTCCATCTCCCAACCGTGAGATCATAATCTCAGCCGAAAGCAAGAGTCAGACACTTAACCTCCTGAGCCACCCAGGCACCTCAGAAAAGGTAGAAGAGGGGCGCCTGGATGGCTCAGTTGGTTAAGTGTCCGACTTCGGCTCAGGTCATGATCTCATGGTCCGTGAGTTCGAGCCCCGCCTCAGGCTCTGTGCTGACAGCTCAGAGCTTGCAGCCTGCTTTGGATTCTGTGTCTCCCTCCCTCTCTGCCCCTCCTCTGCTTGTGCTCTGTCTCTCTCTCAGAAATAAATAAAACGTTTTAAAAAAAGAAAGAAAAGAAAGAAAAAGTTAGAAGAATATTTTAGATAGGCTGTTAAAATTAGAGAAAATTGTAGGCAGGATGTCCAGATAAAACCATGCTAAGAAGATGACTAAGAGGAAGTCATTTGTGCACTGACTCATGTGCGCGTCTTGGGAAATGGAGTTCCAGGAAGAGAGACCAGCAGGTGCCAAGGCCCTGGGGCAGGAGCATACTTGGAGTGTTTAGAGGATGTTGGGTATCTCAGGGACTAAACAGAGTGGCACCAGAGTGCCACGCAGAGGAAGGGGTCCAAGAAGAAGAGAGGACCAGGCTGTGGAGTTAAGTGCTGCTGAGCCGTCACACCAAGGAGGGATTGAGAGGTGGCCTTGGAATTGAGGATGAGGAGGCAGATAAGAAAGGGGGACTTTGGGTAAAGAGGTCATTCCCCTGCGGAGTAGTGCTGCAGACACCAGGCGTTGGTGACATGGAGAAATGAAGAGAAAACCGGTCCGCAGAGGAGTTTGAAGGTGCATGGGCTGTTTTGTCAGGTTTTGTTGTTTGGGTGTGATTAAGCCGGAGGCTCCTCACAGAGCCCATGAGGGGAGTCCGCAGTACATCTCACAGGGCCACAGGGGGACTCGGAAGGCAGGGGAGGGTGGGGAGGTGGGGAAACGGTTTTGGTTTCCGCGGGAAGAGATGGGCAACACCAGGCAAGTGCAATGCTTTGGGCGAGCGCTGGGGTGTACGGGCTGTCCCTGGTCAGGCTGTCCCTGGTCGTCAGGCGCCGGCCCTGGGGGCTGAGGGCAGGTGCATATAGGCTCAGAGTGTGAGAGCCGCACGGATCACGTGGTGGGTGTGTGGGTTTAACCACTGCTCAGGAAGGGGGCCGGGCTGGCCTCTAGCCCTGGCCTCCAAACTGGGTCAAGACAGTGTTTATAAAACTGTTTTAGGGGCTGCAGCTGCATGGGGTCAGAGACTTAAAAAAAATTTTTTTTAATGTTTTTTTTAAAATGTTTTTATTTATTTCTAGGAGAGAGAGAGAGAGACAGCGTGAGCAGGGGAGGGTCAGAGAGAGAGGGAGTCACAGACTGAAACAGGCCAGGCTCTGAGCTGGCAGTCAGCACAGAGCCCGACGCGGGGCTCGAACCCACGATCCGCGAGATCATGACCTAAGCGAAAGTCGGACGCTTAACCGACTAAGCCACCCAGGCGCCCCTTTAATGTTTATTTATTTTTGAGACAGATAGATACAGAATGTGAACAGGGGAGGGGAAGAGAGGGAGACACAGAATCCAAAGCAGGTTCCAGGCTCTGAGCTGTCAGCACAGAGCCCGACTCGGGGCTCGAACCCACGAACTGTGAGATCATGACCTGAGCTGAAGTCCGATGCTCAACCAACTGAACCACCCAGGTGCCCCTCTTTTTAAATATAAAAGAGAGATTAGCGTGTTTACCAGCCAATGTGAGAGAGGCGAGGGTAGAAATCCAGAAGGGAAGGCAGAGCCAATGCTGGAGAAGCTGGAGGGAATTGGAGCCCCCAGACATTTTAATTGTGCAGAATACAGATAACAGAGCATTCAGCCCCTGCCCACCGTTCAGATGTGCAGTTCAGCGGCATGAGCCACGTTTCCACTGTGGTGCCGAGGTCCCCACCGTCTGTCTCCAGAAATTTCCCATCTTGCAAAACTGAACCTCTTTCCCCATTGAACACACCTCCCCCTCCCTCTCCACCAGCCCCTGATGCCCCCGTCTGTTCTCTGTCTCTGTGGATTTGACTCCTCTAAGGGACCTCGGAGAAGTGGACTCACACAGTATTGGTCCTTCTGTGACTGGCTCATCTCAGCCAGCGTAACATTCCCCAGGTTCATCCATGATATGGCCTGTGTCCCAATTCCCTTCCTTTCTTTTTTTTTTTATGTTTATTTATTTATTTATTTTGAAAGATGAACAGAGAGAGAGAGAGTGAGCAGGGCAGGGGCAGAAAGAGAAAAGTGGGTGTGAGAGAGAATCCCAGGCAGGCTTGGCACTGTGTGTGCCAAGCCTGATGGGGGCGGGGCTTGACCCCATGAACTGTGAGACCATGACCTGAGCTGAAATCAAGAATCTGACGCTTAATTGACTGAGCCACCAGGTGCCTCATATTTGAAAAATTTAAAAACACTGAATTGATAGAAACCAAGAACAGATGTTGATTGCCCAAGGCAGAGGGTGGAGTATAGTTGAGTTGGGTGAAGGGAATCAAAAGAAACAAACAATGACAGACAGACAGACAGAAAGAGAGAGAGGAAGAAAGAGAGAGAGAGAGAGAGAGAGAGAGAGGGAGAGGGAAGGAAGGAAGGAAGGAAGGAAGGAAGGAAGGAAGGAAGGAAGGAAGGAAGGAAGGAAGGAAGGAAGGAAGGAAGGAAGGAAGGAAGGAAGGAAGGAAGGAAGGAAGGAAGGAAGGAAGGAAAAGGCGCCTGGGTGGCTCAGCAACTTTGGCTCAGGCCACGATCTCCCGGTTTGTGAGTACAAGCTCCACGTCAGGCTCTGTGCTGACAGCTCAGCTGGGGCCCTGCTTGGGATTCTGTCTCTCTCTCTCTCTCTCTCTGCCCCTCCCTGCTTGCTCTCTGTCTCTCAACATAAATAAAAATAAACTTAAAAAAAAAAAAGCCCTTTCTTTTATCCCAAGAGCACAGGGCCAAGGGAGGTTAACTCTGCCTTCCCCACAGCTTCCTGGAGAACATCCCTGCGCAACACTTTGCTGCCCATGTCATGAAGAATGAGGAAGACACAAACTGTGGCTTCACAAAGGAGTACCAGGTGCAGTGAGACTGAGGGGCGGAGCTGAGCCCCACGTGCCCACCCCAGACCTCGCCGCACCTTTTGGGGTTAAACACAAGCAGGGCCACCAATTTTCTTTGCTTATGCAAAAAACTTCAGGCACAGTTATGTTTTCGGCTGACACTATTATGGGCCCTTGGGTCAGCTCTAAAGTTTCCCCCTGATGTCTCTTCTCTCGCCTACCTCTCTGGTCCCCACTGTCCCCCAAGCTTCCCAAGTGCCCTACGGGGTGATGGTACACATTTTTGTGGGTGTTACAGAGTGCCAGGGCACGGGGGTGAGTGGGGTGGTGCTGAACGGGGGTGTCCTCTGAGGAAGATGGAGAAACTCCAATGCTCCCCCTTCTCTGCCTCTGCCTCCAGCAACTGGCTCTGGAGGGCATCGGCCAGTCTCAAACCGTGGCCTCAGCTCTCGAAAACAGCACCAAGAACCGTTACCGAAATGTACTGCCCTGTGAGTCTTTTTTAAAATGTTTATTTATTTATTTTGTGGGAGAGAGAAAGTGAGCAGGGGAGGGACAGAGGGAGAGAGGGAGACAGAATTCCCAGCAGGCTCCGCACTGTCAGCACAGAGCCCGACGTGGGGCTTGAACCCACGGACCGTGAGATCGTGACCTGAGTCAAAATCAAGAGTTGGACACTTAACCAACTGACTGAGCCACCCAGGTGCCCCTGTGCTGCCCTGTGAGTCTTAAGCCTCTGCTGACTTTACCACTGGCCATGACTTTGTCAGTCCGCCATGCCTGGCCCCTTCCCTTATTCCCTGTAAGACACAAAACCTCTTGCTGCCTGTGAGGGGGCCACCCTGGCCCATTCCTCCCTGGCGAGGTCAGCCCGCCCTTCTTAGTGCTCCCAGTGCCTGCGTGCCCTCGGCGTGACCTCCGTCCCTGGGTCTCAGTCTTGTCTCCATGCCTTTCTGGGTCTCCCACCCTCTCTCTGCTTCAGCAATGCCGGCCTCTTCCTCTAGATGACTGGTCCCGGGTGTCCCTGAAGCCCCAGGAGGATGGAGGCTCCGACTACATCAACGCCAGCTTCATACCTGTAAGGCCGTGGTTGGGAGCCCGCAGGGCATGGAGCACAGCTGAGCCGAGAAGGAGCGGAGGGGTTGTGACTTGCCTCGTTTCTTCCACCAGAGTCTCTGGGACCCCCACGAGTTCATTGCAGCCCAGGGCCCCCTGCCCCAGACGGTGGGTGACTTCTGGCGCCTGGTGTGGGAGCAGCGGAGCCGGGCCCTGGTCATGCTGACCAACTGTGTGGAGTCTGGCCGGGTGAGAGGCCCGCGGGGGTCTAGGCATTGAGCCCTGACCCCAGCCCGTGACCCTGCCTGGACTCTGATCCCACTTTCGCTGACTCCCTCCCACATGACCCCAGCCTCCTCCATTGGACACCTCCCCAGTCCATCCATTGGCCCATATAACCCAGTGGTCTTGAGAAGGAGGGGTCCTCCTGGCTGGGATGAGTCTACACTCAGCTGCCCGTGGGCCTTGCCTCATCACCAGGTACTGAGTACAAGAGCCCCAGTGTAGACAGGCACCAGGACAGGTTCTCTGGGGCCTCCCGTTCTCTGACCTCCCGGTCATCTCCCAGGTGAAATGTGAGCATTACTGGCCTCTAGACGCCCAGCCCTGCACATACGGGCAGCTCCAAGTGACTCTGAAGGGTGAGGAGGTGCAGGAGAACTGGACAGTACGAGAGCTGAAGGTCCAGCACGTGAGTCTGCCACACCCTGCTGGCCCCATGCTGGCCTCGATTCCTCCCCCAGGACCTTAGGGCAGTCGGCTCCTCAGAACCCCTCCTGGAGTCTAGCCTTCCGTCACTCTCTTGGGGACCACAGTGTGCCCAGGGATCCCCCCACCCGTTGGAAAACAGCCCACCCAGGGGTCTTGACGGCTCCCTCCCCAACCCACCCTCCCTCTAGATCCAAGAGCAGAAGACACTAGCTGTGCGTCAGTTCCACTACATGACCTGGCCAGACCACGGCGTCCCCCACTCCCCAGACCCCCTGCTGGCCTTCTGGAAGATGGTCAGGCAGTGGCTCGACCAGACCGCAGAGGGAGGCCCCCCCATTGTGCACTGCAGGTGAGGACCCACTAGCTCTGAGAGAACGGCCCCTGAGGGACTCAAGACCCAGGACCTTCTACAGGAGATGGAAGAGAGGAGGGGAATGCCCTGGGGGAGGAAGGGAGGAAGGGGTGAAGGGTAGCAGAGAGAAGCAGCCAAAGGTTTTGAGAAACATTTGAAACACCTCCAGTGCACGCCCGGGACCTCATCCCGCCCATCACTCTCCTGTCGTTGATACTGAAGGCTCTGTAGAGGAGGTTATGGGGGGGGAGGGGGCACCAAAGGGCTTGATCCAGAGTGGCCGACAGCCTCTGAAATGGGGGCTCTGGTTGCAGTGACCGTCGGCATTCAGGGAGCATGTACCACATGCCAGTGACATGACGGAAACCCCACAGCCATGGTCTTGCTGGTCCTCAGGGCAACCTCATGACCAAAAGGGTTTAGTCCCCATTGCAGAGCTGTGGAAACCTGGTCAGAAAGCTTCAGTCTTGGGTTCAAGGCTGATAATGAGTGGCCACGCTGATGCCCATGGTGGCATTCAAGTTCTCTGCTGAACCGTGTGCTAACACCTGCCCTGTCCCAAGACAGCGCCCCTGGAGGTGTCCCCACCAGGGGGCCATCCCTCCCCCCAAGCACGGAAGGGACTCCTGCGTAATGGTTAAGACGATTGATTTGAACCCTAAAAAGGAATGGAGCACTGGGTCATTCCACCATGTGGAAGAATTTAAAAAACATGGTGCTGAGTGAAATAAGCCAGACACAAAAGGCCACACATAGTATGATCCCGTTTGTGGGAGATGTCCAGAATACCTAGACCCACAGAGCCCGAAAACAGATTGATGGTCACCAGGGACCCCCATAACCCTCACTTACACTGGGTCCCCCAAGAATGCTATCTTGCTGAATAATATACCCTGATCCTGGGTGCTTCAAAAATAGATCTCTCCAATCAGCCAAGACTCCCCCTTCCTGTGGCCTGACCCCTTCTTGTCCCTGCCTAGTGCTGGCGTGGGCCGCACGGGCACCTTCATTGCCCTGGACACCCTGCTGCGGCAGCTGGAGTGTGAGCATCGCGTAGGGGCCTTCAGCTACGTGCGGAAGATGAGGCAGAGCAGGCCTCTCATGCTACAGACTGAGGTGATGGGGCTCCTGAGGGCACAGGGTGGGTGAGGGGTGGGGCTTGGGGGTGAAGCAGGCCTTGGCTCAGAAGGGCACCCCTCCCCCCTCCCCTGTCCCTCTCTGCAGGCCCAGTATGTGTTCCTGCATCAGTGCATCCTGCGGGGTCTCCAGCAGTCACGCCTAGCCCCAGAGAAGGGGGCTTTTTATGAGAACCCGGTGTATGAGAATGTCTAAGACACAGGAGTTGAGACCCCAGCCCCGCTAGACTCGGACTCTGGATCCCCACTTCAGCCCAGATTCCTGGAACCCTGGGAGAGCAGAGGGCTGGGGTCCCAGATGCCTGGGTCTTGCAGGAGGAGGGGAGGCCTGGGAGTCTAAACTGTTTCCCTGGAGGAGAGAGGGCAGATGGCAGTGGGTATCCCGGATTCCTGGTTCCTTGGAGGAGGGAGGGATGTGAGCTAGGATTTCCTAGTACTTGGAGGGAGGAGGAGGCCGGGGGCCTGCCTGCACTGCTGGATTTTGGGGAAGAAGAAATTAGTGTCTGGAACTCTAGCTACCCCAGGTGCAAAGGCAGACAGGATCCATCCCATCTTGTATTCCAGAAACCAAATCTGTCTTCTAGGACCTGAGATTTCCCCACACCCCACTGCATGTACATGTATTTTTCTTCTATCCCGTAATTTATTAAATCACTATTCTCCCCCGGAGATGCTTGCTATAGCGGATTTCTGGGTCTGAAAATAATATTGGGGTGGGAGTGGGGCTGGATTCCTGATGCTCAGGCACTGAGGTAAATATCCTAGGGAAGCGAGAGGGACCCACCATTTTGCACCCGAAAAAAATGTGTTTAGATGGTTGAGTCTCTCGGAGAGGGCTGGAGGTCCACGCTTGTGTCCAGCCACATAGGGGCTTGCTTCCTGGGCCTGCTGTTCGGAGATCCTAGAGGGTGGGGTGATGTCTGGGGCAAATTCACTAGAGGCTTACACTGAGTCTTGTGTCTGGATACCTGACTACTGGGGTACTTGAGTCTCCAGAGAGTCTCCGGGGTCCTGGGACCGGGTATCCTGGCGGGGGTAAGGGTGGAGAGAGGGGGCCTGGGCCAGAAAGCAGAAAATCGTCAGGGACCAGGGTGAATATCCCTGGGCACCCTGGTGGCTCTTGGCTGGGGGAGGGACGAGGGGAGGGACGGGGCTCTCCACCTACTCGAGACCTAATACGCACGCGCGCGCGCACACACACACACACACACGCACGCACACACACGCGCACACTCACTCCGCTCTGCCGCGCCCCCGCCCCACCGAGCTCAGTGATCAGCACCCGGGACAGCGCCACCCGCCCGCGTGCGGGGGCGGGGTCCTGGCGGGGCCGGCGCCTGGGCGTCTCCCGGGAGGGTCGGGTCCAGCCGCCGAGCAGGTAGGAGCCTCTGGGACCCCCTCCCTAAGCCCCCTGCTCATCCTCACCCCTGGAGAGACGGGGCGTGTGGCATGGTGGGGACACTGGGGAGGGCCCGACGGGAGTGGAGGGGCTGGAGGCTGAAACGCGGACACTGCGATTTAGAGACAGGTGTGGAGACAAAGGGCAGAGGGGAGGGAGGAGCAGCCAGGGGAGGGTGGGACACAGACCAGACCACAGGCCGAGGGCAAACGAGACGCCGACGGGGGGCGGCGAGGGGCCGGTGGGGGGAATAGGCAGAAGTAGGGGGTGGAGGGAGAGATCATGAGGACAGGTGTGAAGACAGAGCTCGGGATGCGGGGGAGAGACAGGCAGGCCGAGAAGGATGCGCGCCCCCAGCCCACCCTGCCCCGGCGGTGGCAGCAGGGAGCCCCCCGGCAGGAGCGAGAGAGGCTCGCGGGGCCGGGCGTTGGAGGGAGGAGTCAGCCCTGGGCGCCGGGAGCGCCGGCCGAGGCCGCCCTCTCCCCACGCTCGCCTCGCCCGGGGTCCGGGGCTGGGGTCCTGACCGCGCGTGGAGCGAGCCGGCAGCGCCTGGATTCCGCATCTGGACGTCAGCCCGGCCTGTTGTCTCGGCAACAGCCGGTTGCCAGGGCAACCAGCGGTGCTCCTGCCCCGTTCGGGCAGAGCCACGTTGCTCGGGGCGACTCAGGTCTCCGGTTCCCACGCCAGCCTTCGCCCACTTCCGGTTCAGGCCCGTGGAGTCGGGCACTGAGGGATGAGAAGTCGGCGGGGTTCCTGGGGGGCCTTGGCGGGCGGGGGCATCCCTCTGGGATGGGGCTAGGGACTGGAACCCACGGCCGCGCCCGCCCTCGGTCGCGGGAGGCTGACACTACAACCCCCAGCATGCCTCGCGACCGAAGGCTGAGTCCTGTGCGGCCGGTCGCCCAGGGTGCCGCTGGGAGTTGGAGTTTTTCGTTATTCCGGAGGCTTCCCTGGATGCACGGGGTGGGCGTGGGGGGCTATGGCTCTTGGGTGCCTCCGCAGAAAGGACCGTGAGACCCCGCCGGCATGTTCCCGGAGCCCCCAACCCCAGGGCCGCCTGCGCCCGACACGCCTCCGGACTCGAGTCGCATCGGCCCCAGCCCTGGTGAGCGAGACTCGGGGCCAGAGCGGAGGGAAAGCCCGGCTAGGATTCTCAGGGGCGGATTCAGAAGGGTGTGCTCGGCTGGCGGGCTGGAAAATCCGGGTGGGACTGCGGCTGGAATTATGGACTCGACTCGGAGTGAAATGCAAGAGGAGCGGGTTTGCAAGAAAATCGAGAACCAGGTCAAAGAATGTGCAGTGGAATGGGATCTTGGATTGTGAATTGGAAGGCCCACCTCTCCCTTCCTTTAAAGATAGGGAAACTGAGGCCAGGGAAGGGGCATGGCTTCTAAATATTTCAGTGTGTGGAGCAGAAATTAGAAAGGGGGTCTAAGGGAAGGTGCAGTTAACAGGCAAGAAAATCTGGATGGTGTCAGCCTAGAATAAGGGCATCAAATCTCTTTATAGGTGAGATCAGTTGGAAGGAAAACACGGGAATAAAATGGAATGGAAGTGGCTGGAGGGAAAACCTGGCCAGGATTTCGGCTTGTACGTGTCACCCAGACTGAATCCGCCAGCTTGCTTCCTAGGGTCTCAGTGAGTGTTTTCTCCATGCCCTCTGCAGTACCCCCTTGGGCCCTGGCCACAATCATTCTGGTCTCAGCCCTCCTCGTCTTCAGCTGCTGTTTCTGCCTCTACCGGAAGCGTTGTCGGAGGCGGTCGGGCAAGAAGATTCAGGCCCAAGCCCAGGTCCACCTTCAGGAAGTGAAGGAGCTGGGTCGGAGTTACATAGACAAGGTGTGGCCTGGCCCAGCCCCTCAGCCCTGCCTTTCCTGCACCCGGGCTTAGCAGCCTCAGTCCCTGCTCTCCCCTCTCCTATGCCCATCTTACCCACTCACATCCCCTGTGTGTTTAGCTACCTAACTGACCCTGGGGACCTGTTCATGAGAACCAGTCTGGGGGGGAAGTCAGACACTCACACAGACATTCACAATTCAGGGTGTTATGTGCCACATTAGGGGCAGCACAGAACACACGGGGGTTCAGAAAAACCACCTGATAACCCACAGAGTCTAAGGAAGCTTCCGAATAGAGGCATCTTCTGTGCTGAAACCCAAGGAACACACAGCGTTAGCCAAGAACAGAGAGAAGAAACAGTGTGTGCTGAGGCCTGGAATCCAGAGTCTGAGACATATTCGAGAAACCCTGAGTCACTTTTCACTCTATGCTGGAGTATAGAGTGCAAATATACTGCACTCTAGAGTGTGTGTCTGAAGAGCTGAGTAGTATCCATGTCACAAGGGCAGTTGGGAGCCAAGGAAGATTTGTGAGCAGGCGAGGAACAGGGTCACATGAGTGTTGGAATGAATCCTCTGGAACCCATGTGGAGGACAGATTTGAGGCAAGAAGGCTAGCGGGGAGGCTGGTGTGGCATTCTCAAGAGAATAAAGAAACGTAAGTTGAAAGAGGCGCTTGGAGGGAAAATGAAAAGTAACAGGTGTAAGGCTCTGGGAGCCAGGCAGTCCTCGGTTTCCAACCCAGAGGAACCATTCCCCACTCTGTGACCTAAGGAAATTCACTATCCTTCTCTGAGCCTCAAGTTTGTGGTCTGTAATTGATATTTCCCCTCCTCTCTTGTCAACAAATAGCTGTTATAATTCTACCCATAAGGCATGACCTTTAGAGTCCTGGAAGCCGTCCTCCATCCCTATCACTTAAGCCATTGACGTCCAAAGACCATCTACATCAGAATCACCCCAGATACTTGAGGAAACATACATTCTGCATCTTGCACCAAACCTGCTGAATCAGAACCTCTGAAGTGAGATGTCTCAGGAGAGTTCTGATTCACACTGAATTTTGAAAATTGATGGATTAGGTTAAAAAGCCTTGTTCCAGTTTAGAATGGCAAATATAAGTGAAATATACTTTTCTCTTCCATGTTTCTCTATAGCAAGATCACTAGTTAACTCATCAAGTTGGACAATGACCCCAATAGTCCATTAACCTGTGAAATAGAATCTTCTGCATCCTTCTTGTAGGCAGTGAGGCACTAGGAGCGATTGTTTTTCTAGTGTAGGCACAACATGCTGCCCGTGTGTCCCCATGTCTGTTCTTTCCCATAGCAGACATCATGAATCACACTTTGATTGTTCCCTGACTGTGTCAGACATAACTAATCAAACACTGATTCTGCTTACCCTGCAAGTGCCCAGGTATAGCCTGAGGGATCTGTGAGTCTCCCTTGGCTTCTGGGCGTGGAGGATCCCACTGTCAGGGGGAAGGGTTCACCTGCCCTTGCCCCCGGCTCCCAAAGGTGCAGCCGGAAGTGGAGGAGCTGGAGCCAGCCCCGTCTGGGCCAGGGTCACAGGTGGCAGAAAAGCACGAGCTAGGACGACTGCAGTACTCACTCGATTACGACTTCCAGAGTGGACAGGTGGGTGTGGAGGAGGGGGATGTTGTGGAGGGGAGGGTCCGAGGGTTCTAGCCCCTTTTTCAAGGAGGCTCCACAAAAGGAGGCTAAGATGACACATACACACACACACACACACACACACCATCACTTTTCAGCTGCTAGTGGGCATCCTGCAAGCCGAGGGACTGGCAGCCTTAGACCTGGGCGGCTCCTCCGACCCCTACGTGCGTGTCTACCTGCTGCCAGACAAGCGGCGGCGGTATGAGACCAAGGTGCATCGGCAGACGCTCAACCCACACTTTGGGGAGAACTTTGCGTTCAAGGTGAGCTCCTGGCCTCCGTGCCCCAGGCTTGGCAACCTGCCCCCCGTACCTGGAATCCTGGGGACCAACCCCTTCAGCTTCTTCTGCTGGCAACCACAGCTCTGGTGGCAGCTATCAGATCTGGAGACTGTGACACTGGACCCTGGGTTGCCCCTGTGGGGACTGCTGACCCTGGGCTGTGCCTTTGGTCCTTGGGCTGCCTACTTGGGTTCCATAGACTTCCCCACACCTGTTCCCTTGAACCCTTGCTGCCCCACCCACCTTCTTCTACCTGAACACGCTACACCCCACTTCCTTCCTGTCTCTCTGACTTCTTACTCTCCTCCTTGTGCTCTCTCCTCTGTGGCCCCCTCACCTAGGTCCCCTACGTGGAGCTGGGGGGCAGGGTACTGGTCATGGCGGTGTACGACTTTGATCGCTTCTCCCGAAACGATGCCATTGGGGAGGTGCGGGTCCCCATGAGTTCCGTC